GGAGGTGACTGCAGCAAAGACATCCCAAGAGCTTTTGTGCCCCTTGGTTAGAACAATGGAAGTTGGGAGTAGATTAACTTCTTGAAAAGCAATTGGAAAGAATAAAAACCTCTCTGTGTTTGTATGGATGTGTATACATGCCTTCAAGTCATTTGTTGAATTATAGTCATCCCATGAATTTTATGGGGGTTGTCTTCTGCAAGGAAAACTCAGAGTGGTTTGCCAATTCCTTCCTCTGCAAGTATAATGGTTCTTAAATTAAGTGTGAAAGTTATGGTCTAACGTTATAAAATTGGACATTCTGGGATTGAAACAGGAATGTCCCTAAAGGGGGTTTGCCCTCAGGTCATCTCATTGGATTTGCTGCTTTGTTGGAGTTTAGTATGTGGTCGCAGCAGTAGAACATCTGGATTTTGAGACCCAAACAGAACAAGGCTGTTCTTGGACAAAGTGAGGTTGCTGCCTCATGTTGCTATTATTATTATTTTCATGATTTTCTTTTTTCATGTTAGGAACGACTTGAGAAATTGCAAGTCGCTTCTGGTGTGAGAGAATTGGCTGTCTGCAAGGACGATGTCCAGGGAATGCCCTGATGTTTTACCATCCTTGTGGGAGGCTTCTCTCATGTCCCCACATAGGGAGCTGGAGCTGACAGAGGGAGCTTATCTGCATTCTCCCCGGATTCGAACCTCCGACCTGTCAGTCTTCAGTCCTGTCAGCATGAGAGATTAACCCATTGTGCCACTGGAAGCTCTGGTGGCTCAATGATCATGAATAGGTAATGCGTTTTTGCTTGCTTACTTTGCTGTTGTGTTTTTGCGAGATATACTTGTGGGAATTGAATACAAATTGATTTTGGAAGAGGTGCACCATAATCTGGGGAAAAGATGCTATTTGCTGCTTTGGCTCATATAACAAACTATTTTGAGACATCTTTGCCTAAATGGGCTTTAAAATAGTGTGTAGATGTCTTTGGATTCCCAAGCCAAAGCTTTGAGTGCCGCACATCTAGGAATGGCCATTTACAAGAATTCCTTAGCTATTGAGCAATGAGAGTAATTAATTTTGCTGGAATTTTGCCTAAACCCATCTAGTACTGTTTTTAAAAGGCAGAAATTGGAGACATTTCTCGTTCCACATCAGCAAGATTGCAAGGAAACATTTGCTTTGATAATCAGAAATAAATTCCAAGGTCCTGGAGGAGTTGAACTATTTCATTCTATGCCTCCTATCCACCTGCTTATTCATTCAGTTAATATGAGTTAAGCAAAGATCCTCTGCTGATGAATTCTAGTGATAGTTCCAAGATGAAACAGGAAATCGTGCACTATGCCTTGGTCATTATTTTTGGCTGAAATTGATATTGATAAGTTAATTTCCCTATTTTGTATTTGAAATGATGATAAACATCATTTTATTCTCAGAGGACACCATTTTGTAGGAACATAGCTCCAACAGATGTGATCTAATTGGCAGACAGGTACAATGACACAAATAAGCCTCAAGAACTTCAATAAATACAAAAACAGGCTCCCTTTCCAGTAGAGTCACTTATGGCTTGGCAAGCTTACTTCAGGAAGAAAGTGCACAGTAGAAGATTCATTTAAAATAAGTATTTCTCTTTAAACAAGCATTCAGTATCCCTGCCCTCATTTTAAATCATTTTGTGAACTGGCCAATAGTAGGATTTCTTTACAAATTGTTGCAGTTTAAAGACTTAGCTGTGCCGCTTTGATGAATGTGGATCACTTTGACAAAGCAAGTTACCATTATCTACAAACCACTAAGAAAATTCAACAAATGCTACATTCAGCAAAGGACAAGAGGGATCCCCTCACCTTTGCAGGAGTCTAACACAGTGGTTCTCAATCTGGGGTCCCCAGATGTTTTTGGCCTTCAACTCTCAGAAATCCTAACAGCTGGTAAACTGCCTGGGATTTTTGGGAGTTGTAGGCCATAAACATCTGGGAATCCCAGGTTGAGAACCACTGGTCTAACGGATACCATGCAGCTGTGGACAAGTCTACATAGGGACCACCAAATGCAGCATTGCTCAAACACGAATCAAGGAACATAAAAGGCACTGCAGACTCCTTCAGCCAGAGAAGTCAGCCATAGCAGGTAGCTCTTTAACACACTGGCATAAAAGACGAAATACACTACATTTGGTGTGTGTGTGTGTGTAGTGGGGAGGTGAGGATTGCATGAAATAAGCATATGATCCTTTTTATATATATAGTTACATATTTGGAAATAAGAACCATAATTGAAATAGACAAGTATCTATTTCATGCACATTGCTGTTATCAGGTGTCACAAATAGTTCTTGTGTTTAGCAGTATCTTTAGAAATAAGGACAATACATACCACCTGAGTGACAAGGACTGTGACTTCTGGGTTTGCTCAGTTTAACTCTCCGGGTACTTGTGATGGAAAACTTCACTCTCATTACCACTTTCCCTTATGATGGTTTTTTACTTCTAAAATGGATTTGGACTGAGGAGACGTTCAAACAGAATCTCCATAGATAAATGTTAGTCCCCATGAATAATAATAACTTTATATTAAGCCACCATCTCCCCAAAGGGACTCGGGGTGGCTTACAAGCAGTGCCAGGCCCAATAAAACAAAGTTAATCAGGTAAAAACACATTTAAAAATGCAATAAACATATGACAATCTAATTAAACAATTAAGACAATAAAATATAAAAGACATCATTAAAATCAAATGAATATGTTCTGCATTTAATGTTCCTCTGATCCCAACTGTCTATCATAGAGGTGGGCAGATGTTATTGCAACTAGCTTCCAGAGGCATTATCTGCATAGCCAGCAGTGAACAATCCTGGGAGTGTAATCCAGCAATTTCTGGATGGTCACACAATTCCCATTCCAGTCTACCAGCACCATCATATTTTCAACCATGTGTGCATTTGTCTATGGACTACACCTCCTGAATTCTCCTTCTACTCAGCCATTAAGATCCTGCTGAAAACAGCTGAGAATGCTGGTAGTTCATGAACCTATTGACAAAAAAAGACTTTATCGTCTGCTCATAGTATCCAAATTCTGCATTCATGGTTTGAAAATATTAAAATCATCTGTGGCTTGAAAAGCTATATTTTTAATAAATGTAGAAACAAACCTTTATTTTTGCAATTTTATATAAGGGACACTTTTTTCAATGCAATTGTATAGAATGGGATTTTACTGTGCATTGATTTTTGCACCCAAATCCTGGCAGATACCAAGGGCACAATGTATCCAGTTTGCCTGTTGGACAAACTTCAGGTTTCCAGGATATTGTTGGTATAATTGGTAACTATTATTTATCTGTAATAACTAACAAGAAAGTGTGAATGCAGTAGTGCCATAAATTATTAAACATGCATGTCCTATCACTTGTGATTTAACTCCTATAATTAAGGAATTAAGACTTTAGAAATTTCCTTAGAAAAGTTTTAGTGATGAGGAACACAATATCACATCCCAAGAATAATCTATTCAGTTTGTGCATTCTCTCTCTCTTCCTCACTCCCTCTTTCCCTTGTGTTTTCTTACAGAGCTGATGTCACTGATATAAAAACAGAGCTTGGAAAAGTTACATTTAGGGGCTACTATTTAGACTATCCATGCTAGTTAGTTATTGTGGCAGCTTTAGTCCAACTTCTTTCTTTGTCTGAATATTGAATGACTGGGATAATCCTGTGAGGGATTCTGTTGCCCTTATGTATTGCTTGTAAGAGTTATAAGAGTCCTCTGTATGTCAGCATGTTTTTACTTATATGCTTAGACCAGTCTTTTCCAATGTAGCATCCTCCAAATGTGTGGTAGTGCAAGTCCCAGCATTCAGCATAAGAGTGGGAGTTGTTTTCCAACATCTGGAGCATGCTGAGTTGAAGATGTTTGACCTAAACAGACAGGGATCTTGGCACAGATAGACTTAACTACAACTGTCTGAATTTGGCAGGGACAGTTCCAACTAATCCACTGTCACCCCACTTTTTCAGTGGTTTTTACACTTTATCACACTAAAGAAAAAAATCCACCTTAAATCCGGTTTCTGCCACCTGCAGAATTCTGGGGTTTGTAGTTTAGTGGGGCTGTTAAAGGCTCCTCCCTAAACTACAAACCCCAGAATTCTGCAGGAGGCAGAAACCAGATTTAAAGTGAATTTTTTCTCTAGTGTTCCTCCCATGTGTTTGTTCTCCTGCAATTGTAACATTTGCCCCCATTAATACTCTCTAATCTTGTTTGGCCACACGTGTCCTGATTTTCATTTGTGAAAAGTTGTGGGGGGAGGGGCAAGTTTTGGCTCAATTAGAGCAGATGAGACTGTTGTCAATTCCAGTCTCTACCGCATTGCATAAAGTCACATTAGTAGCAAAAATAGTTAATTTGAACACACACACAGGCTTTACAGCTTCAGTTTTGGGCAACCTTCCAAAAGGGCAGGCCTGTACAATCCTGGCTGTTTAATAACTCTGTCTGGCACATTTTAATATTGAACGGAGAAGTTTGTGTTTTCTTTGGCACAGTCCTGGGTGATCTTCTTGGTCCATTTAGCTTATTTTGCCCGCATTGAACCTTTTGTGTCATTTTCAGCATGACATGTGGCTACAAACCTGACTTGACAAAGTTCTACTGTCAAGCTGGCAAGGGAACATTCTGCATCATTTGGAGTTGGGTATAATAATGACGCTCCAAGAGTGTTGGTTAACTAAGTTGTTTCTGCCTGCAGTTCTGTTTCTCCCAGAGAATGGGTGCAGTGTGTTTATTGAAAGGTGAAAAGATCTCATCCAAAATACTGCACTACCTCATTTGCTGGCTGGAACCTTGTATATATTACGGTCAGTGCACTTGAATACATTGTTAGCATCTGGGCATTTTTCCCATTGAGCCTGATAAGATGCAAATGTTTAATTAGCTGTGATAACCACCCACTCAGTCACCTTTAGGTTCACTATCACTGCCCTTTTTTCCTTCTCTGTCTTGGCAGCTGGCTTTGAAGAATGCCCTGCGTTACTTCCCAGCTGACTTGCATGAATTGCTGGCATCAGAATTTGCCAAAGAACTGAAGCTTTATGGACACATCTACATGTATAGGTTCTGCCCCCAAATTGTGATGAGGTAAGACCTTAACATCTGCTTTGCAATACAGTATGGTGCCATATCCATGGGAGATACACAAAATAGTGGGTAATAACAAGCCTGATATGCTTGGCTATACTTGAACCAGAAGCATACCATCAGATCGCATTGGAGGACCTAGAGTTGTCCACAAATATCTTCTGGGAGGAAGGGTTGAAGCATGGCTAAGTGAAACTCCATATGTTTTATGTTTACTTGTGAAAACCGCCCTGAGTCCCCTAGGGGAGAAAGAGCAGTATATAAATAAAGTTTTATTTATTATATTATTATATATTGAATCCATTGATAAGGGGGTTGCACCATATATTACAATGAAGTGCTCATAACATGTAGTGGCTTAGACCGAAATGTGTTCCTTGTTGTTTAGGGACAAAATTAAATTCCGGTGATGGGGTTATAAATGTTGAATGCTGGTGTTGATCACAAATTATCCCATTAATCATACAAGGTGATAGAGACCAAAAAAGCCGGCTGCTGTCTTGATCCATGTGATTTTTTAAAAAGTGAATGGGTCATCAACCTTAACAATCAAAAGTGGTGCTGCAGCATGGCAGTAAGTGGCCAATTAGAGTCCCAAGGTCCATCTACACCAGTGTTTCTCAACCTGGGGGTCGGGACCCCTGTGGGGGTCACAAGGGGGTGTCAGAGGGGTCGCCAAAGACCATCAGAAAACATAGTATTTACTAGGGCTGGGCAGTTTCGTTTCGTTAATTCGTAATTCGTTAATAATTCGTTATTTTTTTCAATTACAAAACGATAACGAACCATTCTGGAGCAATTTTTTAAAAAAACGAATTTTTAAACACATTTTGTAAATGCTTCGTATTTCGTTATTGTATTCGTTTCGTTATTGTTCTGAGGTCGTTTCGTTATTATTTCCGCATGTCTGGGGCAAGTTTTTGTTTAATTAGTGAAAAAAAATTATAATATCACACCAACAGTCAACAACAGAGGGAGAGGGAAGCTTCAGAAGTTTTTGGAGGTTTTTTAGCGTATTTCGCGGTCGCGTCCGCCATTAACGAATCGATTCGTTATTGTTTCGGAAATCGATTCGTTAATGTTTTGAATTTTTTTTCACATTTACGAAATTTCGTAAATATCGAACTTTTTAAAAGGAAAATTTTGTAATTATTTTAAATATCGAAACAAAAAAAACCCCCAAATACAAAACGATTTTAGAAACAATTTTTCCGTTGTTACCCAGGCCTAGTATTTTCTGTTGGTCATAGGGGTTCTGTGTGGGAGGTTTGGCCCAATTCTATCATTGGTGGTGTTCAGAATGCTTTTTGATTGTAGGTGAACTATAAATCCCAGCAACTACAACTCCCAAATGTCAAGGCCTATTTTCCCCACATTCCAGCAGTGTTCACATTTCGCATACTGAATATTTGTGCCAAGTTTGGTCCAGATCCATCGTTGTTTGAGTCCATAGTGCTCTTTGTAGGTGAACTACAACTCCCAAACTCAAGGTCAATGCCCACCAAAACCTTCCAGTGTTTTCTGTTGGTCGTGGGCATTCTGTGTGCCAAGTTTGGTTCAATTCCATTGTTGGTGGAGTTCAGAATACTCTTTAATTGTAGTTGAACCATAAATCCCAACAACTACAACTCCCAAATTATGTTTCATAACAGGAGCAAAATTACAGTTATGAAGTAGTAAAAGAATGTTATGGTTGGGGGTCACCACAACATGATGAACTGTATTAAGGGGTCGCGGCATTAGGAAGGTTGAGAAACACTGATCTACACTATAAAATTAATGCAGTTTGACACCACTTTAACTACCACGGCTCAATGCTATGGAATTCTAGGAATTATACTAGGTCTTTAATCTTCTTTGCCAAAGAGTGCTGGTTCCTTGCCACACGATAATTCCTATGACTCCATAGCATTGAGCCATGGCAATTGACATGGAGTCAAACTGCATTAAATCTACAGAGTAGATGCACCTCAGGACTCTAGCTGGCCACTTAGTTACTGCTAGCTGTGGTACCTCTCTGAAGATGGCATCGCTGGGAGCAGAAAAGTTTCACAAAATGCAACAAGTCAACTCTTCTGGAGGATGGTCCTTGGGGGTATATATAAGCCACTGTGGCATGAGCTAAAGGGACCCCATTTGGGGCCAGAACCCATAGTTCAAGAAGTGAGCTAGGCTACTGCTTCTTAAACTCTGGGTCCCCCAATATTGATCCTGATACTTTTCTGGCACATTATTAAAAAGTTTAAAAAGTAGAATTAGTATTTATTTTGACCTCTACACACAGATTTGAAAAGTTGTTATCATAGCAGAGATTCTTCCTATTATTCTGCAAAGTTGGGTGAGCAACATACAGTCCTAGTCCTCAGCTGGTCTCAGACTAATTTCAAAAGCAATCTGTGAGCAATTTGTTCAGACTTCTGGCAAGAGTGATCTGTTCTTTCTCTGGCAAGTTAGAGAGGGAAATGGGAAAGAGTAGCCTTGTGCATGGATTTGATTTGGCTGATTCTCTTTGGCTAATCCGGCTGGTTTGATTTGGTCAGCTGACCATAATGGCAAGGGCCCAGCCTCCATGTTTTCTTCGGCCGCAATAGAACAGTGGTTGTCAAAAACTGGCTGTCTTTGATTACAAGTGGAGTGTGGGAGGGAGGCAGCCACTAGAAGGGAAAGTGTGAGGGGGGGGGGGCGGGGGTAGGTACCATTCCAGGGCCTGCAAATCAAGAGAAAAGAGAGGGCTTTTAAAAGGAAGCTCAGAGTAGGATACCTCCAGGTTGATCACTCTTCCTTCTCTGGAAGTGGGGTATGGTGTCCCAAAATCCGGGACACCGAAACGGATCACAGTTTACCCAGGTTGCACAAGCCTAGAAAAGAGTACTAGAATGAGGGAGAAAACAAATGTGGCTGTAAGCAAAGTTAAGAAAACTGACTTTTTAAAAGTTACAACTGCTAAGACCCTCTAGTAAGCATGACCAATTTGGGGCTGCATGTCTGTGGGCTTGCTAAACAGGCTGATTTCCATTTTTGTGGAGTACAGGTGAAGCATTTTCTGCAGAGTTCACTGTAAACACTGCAAGTTGTTGCTAACAGGTTTGTGTAAATGGATGGCATTCATAAACCTTTAACTGTTGCCAATTTTTGTGACCCCAACATTGAGTTTAGAAGACCCCGTTTGGGGTCGAGATCCACAGTTTAAGAAGCAGTGTGCTAGGGCACTGCTTCTTAAATTGTGGGTCCCAGCCCCAAACAGGGTGCCTTTAGCTCAATGCTAGGGTCACAAAAATTGGCAACAGTTAAAGATTTATGAACGTGACAAAGATCTCTTCCAGACAGGCCCTATATCCCAGGAACTGATCCCAGGTTTACTGCTTTAAACTGGATTGTATGAGTCTGCACTGCTAGATAATCTGGGATACACGGAAAATATGTGATCAGATCATAGGATATGGGGCCTGACTGGAAGGCCCCCAGTGGCTGTTTTAGACATTTATATAGATCTGTTGTGCAGTGTTTACAGGGACTCTGCAGAAGATGCAATAGCTGTACTTTATAAAAAGGAAAATCAGCTTATTTAGCAAGCCTTGCAAATGTGGATATATTATCAATAATTTGGAGTTGCATACTTGTATTATACATCCATATACCTTGGGCCAGGCATGTAGCCGGGGGGGGGGGGGGGGGGGCTTGGGGGGCTTCAGCCCCCCCCCGAAATTCTGATGGTGGTCCGCGAGAAGGCCTTACTGGTGCATTATTTAAACTGCTATGTTTATTCATATCACTATACTCAATATATCCCATATGCATGGGGGTATTGGGGTAACGATACAAAAGGTTTGCTAGGGTAGACCCTCTTTCACTCAGACTCAGCCCCCCCCCCCGAACCAAAATCCTGGCTACGGGCCTGCCTTGGGCCAAAGTGGTCCTGAGTGGAAAAATTTAAGAAACCTGTACTAGGGGACCTCATTAACTTTTTAAAAGTCACACATTGCACCCCCAAATTTGACCCAGGAGGAGTGGGGCATTTTTGCATTATTTTTAGCTCCCCACTTTATCTAAAGACCTAGGAGAAACCATTTGCAACAGTTTGACTAAAAGCAGTATCTTCTTCCTTTCCTTTGTAACATTTCATGAGTCTTTGGGGGACATTCATTTTTATAACTTTCTAAGGGCTCACAAAAAAGTGGATCACACTTGTCCTTATCTTGCTCTGTAGTTTTCACAGCTGTACTCTAAACCACACTGTTACTCCCAGCTCCTGTCCTCCAAAATTTCACAGACGAAAATGGACACACATAGGTAATTGACATCAGAATGTGGTCAAAATGGCAAAAAAGCTAGGAAAGGCTGTGCCAGCTTGTTTTTGTCTGAAGCTACACAGAAGGGCAAGATTTGCCTCCCTCTTTTCCTCTTCCACCCAATCAATTAAAATGAAAAATAAGTTACTTTTGCACTTTGGGCTCAGGCCCCCTCCACACAGCTGAATAAAATCCCACATTATCTACTTTAAACTGGAATATATGGCAGTGTGGACTTAGATAACTCACTTCAAAGCAAATATTGTGGGATTTTCTGCCCTGATATTCTGGGTTATATGGCTGTGTGGAAGGGCCCTCAGTTTGCAACTGAAGATAATCTGAGGGCAAACAGGAAAGATGGCAGTAGCAGAGAAAAACTGGGATGTTTTAGAAGCAGTTTGCAAAAAATATGGAACGAGAAATGATTAAGATTGTCTTATTAACTGGAAATTTGGAGAATTTGCCAATTAGAATAGACCTGTTCAATCAATAAGAACTTAAATATGTTGCTTTTCATTTAATGCATTTGTATAGTTGGGACTAACAATGCGGGTTTAGGTTTAGGGTTAGGGTTAGGGTTATGAACTGCAATTCAGTTCATAATCACCCATTGTCTGTCTAGTTCAATTTATTAGCATAAAACTACCAACCAAAATGACTTCTTTACCTGGCGAGGACAATAAACCTTCCTCATCATCCTGATATGCATTATTAATGGATATGTGTTCACGTGGGCAGATCCTGCTGCTAAAACAATTATAGCTGCAAAGAGCTCTAACTCAGGATCTGAAATTGGTCAATGGATATCTGATTAGCTTACAGAGCTGCCCCAGTTTTTCTCCTGAATGATTTCCCATATGCAAAGAGAATCTAACTATCTAACCATTCAAAAGTTGATATATAGAATTGATTAATCATAACCCCTGATGCACATCTGTCAGCTTTCTGATAATAGGAATGACATTTCCTCTTGGCTTTGTTGTATGTCTGCAGGTTGTTCCCAACTTATGGTGAGCCTATCATAGGGTTTTCTGGGGCTGAATATATGTGTTTTTATATCTGAATGGGTATTTAAAACCTGGTCTCCATAGTGCAACACTCAAACCATTGTGCCATGCTGACTCACAATTACATTTTATATCTGGTTTGTTCTGATGGGGTCATTTAAAAGCACAATAGCATGCTAGTATTATATTGAATTAAGTATTCGCCATACTATTTGATACAGGGGACTGTCCATTATCCTCCACCTTGTGCCAGGGACTAGCACTACATTTACACTCATTGGCTACAATAGTTTTTTCCCCCTATTTTGGTAAATTGTCAGGACTGTCAGTCAATAGCTCAGAAACTATGAGCGGTCCAGGAACCATCACTTTAAGTAGCACTCTCCTAGAACACAATTACTATAAACAGAACCTTTTTTTTCAAGATTTTACTATCACTTTGCATACAATGTATAACTGTTATATACTGTATTGTCAGAGGATAGTAGTCTCTTGCTAACTTGCTGTTTGTGCTGTCAGCTATAACTAAAATTAATTGATTATAGTAAGGTTTAGGGCAGTGGTTCTCAACCTGTGGGTCTCCAGATGTTATGGCCTTTAACACCCAGAAATCCTAACAGCTGGAAAACTGGCTGGGATTTCTGGGAATTGTAGGCCAAAATACCTGGGGAGCCACAGGTTGAGAACCACTGGTTTAGGGAATGTATGGCTCTCCAGATGTTGCTGAATTGCAGTACCACATCCATGGCTATTTTGGATAAAGATGATGGGATTTTGCAGTCCGGCAACATCACAAAGGGCACACATTCCACACTTTTGCATTAGACCATTTTTACTTCATCTTTTCCTCTGAATTTAGTTGAGATTAATTTCTTTGAAATTAACCATAATTTACAAATGAAAAAAGATTAGGAATCATCATTTCTCTCTTGTATACTTTTTATTCTTTCAATTTCAGAGCTTACCCCATCCAGGAATATCCTTGCAAAACTATACAAGCTGCTGCAATAATGCACATGATTATGAATAATTTAGACCCTGCAGTGGCACAGGTAAGAAATGTTCACTCAAACCCGAGCCTTGGGAAGAAACATGCTGAAAACAACTGAATTGTTTTTGTGCACTAGCATATGTAGGTAAGTTTCAGTCTAAATCCTAGGGCTGTTGCCTTATGTGGCAGATGTTTGGGAACAATAGTATAGCACTGGAAGAGATAGATGTCTCGTACTTGACAAGTCCTAGACACTTTAAGCTAGCCTGCTGTCTACAGGTGTCAGGGAGCATATGCCCCTAATCACAGAGCTAAAGAAACATTCAGTTGCCAGTCCTGTTGAATTCTGTAGCTAGAATGGGAAAGGGGTGCCACCTTGTTCTTGCCTATGTTACTCAGAATGCACTTTTTGAGTAAATTTCCACACTCTGGTGTGAACTTTCCCAAGACAGAAGCCCTCTCTGCACCTAAGACTATGGATTGTTTGCTTGTGAGCAGTGATGTGTGTGACCAACCTATTAAAGAGACAAATATAGGCCCGTGTGTGGTGCAGTGGGTGAAACCCTTGTGCTGCTGTACTGCTGACCTGAAGGTTGGCAGTTTGAATTTGCGGGAGTGAGCTCCCACTGTAGCCTTAGCTCCTGCCAACCTAGAAGTTCGAAAACGTGCAAATGTGTGCAGATAAATAGCTACCACTTATGTGGGAAAAGGCAAAAAGACGCTCCACACAGTCATGCTGGCCACACGACCAGGAGGTGTCTATGGACAATGCAGGCTCTTCAGCTTAGAAATGGAGAAGAGCACCTCCCCCAGGGCAGGAGATGGGCACTTCCAGAAATTAAAGGAGAAGCCTTTGCTTGTGTATTTGTGTCTCGCTGCATTTCATTGTAACAAGGCACTGAATGTTTGCTTGTGTTTCTTTATATGCTGAAATCTGCTCTGAGTCCCCTCAGGGAGAAGGCGGAATATCAATAAAGTGTTATTATATGTTATATAACAATTTAAACAGGGGTGGGCACCACAGCCCTGCAGTGTAGGGCAACACCCTCACTGCAACCACTACAAAACTCTTATAACATTTCTATAAGGATTTCTGGAACAATTTCTATTATACCCACTAATAAGTACTTATGGTAAATCAAATTACTAGTATCAGTTTGAGTAGATTGATTGCGTCAGTGAGATTTACATTATTGTTGATTTACAATTCACCAGCCATGTGTCCATTCTAATTGAGACAGGAAAGGTCTCTACAGTCACTTACAAACCCACCACCAAGACTCTACCCTTGGAAGACAATCATACTCAGCCATGAGTAATCACTTAGGATCTAATTGGGACTAGTTATTGGATTTAAGCCTTATCAACTCATAGTTCCACTGATTTTGTTGATTTCATGTAGGTCCATCATAGGGATTGAAAAATATATATTAAAAAAGGCAAATTTCATTATTCCAATAGACAGATTATATGTTGCGTTTGGATTTGATTATTGACTGGATGAAGTTTTATTGCTAATGTTATATATTTTTATGTCTCTTTACTTTGTTTTTAACTGGAAAAATGCTCCACTTGATTATGTTTGTATTTTAATTGTGTTTTTGCTTGATGGATTGTTTATTGTCTTCTGGACATTTGGTCCCATGTAAGCTGCCCCAAGTCCCTTTGAGGAGAGTATAAGAATAAAGTAGTAGTAGTAGTAGTAGTAGTAGTAGTTGTTGTTGTTAGAAACACAACAAGATGAGTCCACAGCAGAGAAGATCATTCTGCTGGCTGTTGTATGGATCACACGCCAGACACTTCCCAATTGTCTAGGACTGTGTGATGTATTGGTGAATAATACGTGCAGATCCCAGTAAGGTGACCTTCTGCAGTGGGCAGATGGTAAATTCGTCTGCACCTATTGTGTTTAAGTGCAGGCCAAGGTCTTTAGGCACTGCACCCAGTGTGCCGATCACCACTGGGACCACCTTGACTGGCTTGTGCCAGAGTCTTTGCAGTTCGATCTTTAAATCCTCATGTTATGCCAGCTTTTCCGGTTGTTTCTCTTCAATCCTGCTGTCACCTGGGATTGCAATCCATACTTTGTTTTTTAACACGATTGTGAGGTCAGGAGTATTGGGCTCCAGAACACTGTCTGTCTGAATTCAGAAGTCCCAGAGGAGTTTGACGTGGTGTTGTTGTTGTTGTTGTTATTATTATTATGATAAGTTCTAACTGACAGTAAGATTCCATTTTCAAGCAGAAATATAGACTATGCTGACCACCTTGAATAAGCTATTTTTGGCATTACTGTTCAAAGTAAAATGTTTAAATATGTCATTTGCAGTTCCCCCAAGAACTTGTAACTTATGGAGGAAATGGACAAGTTTTCAGCAACTGGGCCCAGGTATGCTGTGTGTTTATATACATTCTCTGACATGACTATTGTGAAAATTTGTATTCATATTTTACCCATATTCTTCCTAAACTTTTGATGTACAATTAAACTCAAAACAGCAATCTGGTGTTTTTGAAATAATCGGTGGGTGGATAGGAGAGCAGGAGGAACCTAGTCTGTTTTGCCTATTGGCACACCTAGGTACTGATTTCGGAAAGCTACATGATGCATGATATGATTAAAATTGGAAGTAAGAGACCTTGGTTTTTCCTGCTATAATTTAAAGATCTGCTTCAAGAAAGAGACGGCTCCATTGGTGGCTGGTTCCATGGAGAGTGCATTTTTCTTTTGATAGGATTTGGCATTATTAAAATAAAGAAAATAAAGCAAAACAGGGGCAAAATGGGACATAAGATTTGCATGCTTAAAAACAAATTGGTATCATAAAAAGGGATGTGTGTCCTTGAATAGACACAGAGTATACTTGTTCCTTATTAAGGAAAGGCAACAATCCCTTGGTCCATTTGAGAGTAGGAGTCCCAAATTCCCAGGCAGAGTGGAGCCCTCTCATCTTTGTTTCCTTCTATAATTAGCCTCTGTGCCTCAAACAGATATAATATATGCCAAACATACTTCCGTACTTAGTGTGCGTATTGAACTTCACAGTGTAATAAAGGAATCACAACTTTTGGAAACTTACTATCTGTTCTTTTGCTCCAGCAACCTTGTTCAGTTCAGATATGACTTATGATATTGAGCAAGGGTTTCACAGCAGAATAAACACTTCTTTGTCATTGGTTACTTAAGAACACCAATTGGATGAATTATTTATTTAGTTGTGATAAGAACAATTTGTTCTCAGTGCTTGGTGCCATGTAAAAGAGACTTTTAAAAAATAGCTGTAGCTATTTTTCTTTTGCTGTAGCAAAAATGTGCCTCAAAATGTTATTTTTGGTGTTTGTTATCTATGCCATCCCTTCCTTTTTTACTAAGAGGATTACTGTAGACCATGTCTTCGGATGAAATTCCAGTATCACTTTTATTAAGACTTGGGCAATCTTTGATCCATGCATATAATTAAAATATTACTTATTTAAGACATCCAAATCCTAACTAACCCTAACTAACACACATCTTTATCTCATATTCTGATCCAGCATACTCATCTGCCTCATTCCCTTAACCAACTAACATCTATTTAACCTTTTTAGTATCACCTCAAACTTCCATTCAATCACATCCAGGCAAGATCCCTTCAAACTACCACAATTCCATATTCTCTTCTCCTTTAAAGGATGAAGGAGATATTTCCATTTTCAGAACTGCAATAAGAACAGAACAGTTTGAAAGAAAAAAAATGGGGTGGGGGGAGTATTGGATGAAGGGGGACTCGTCATACAACCCCACCTCCCATGTTGATACTGTATTCATTGCAAATCATCTCTCCAAAACTTTAGGAGAACTTGGTTATGAGAAATTCAGTTCTGTCTGTTGCCATCTCATCTCAATTGCCCCATAAAAGCTGATGAATGCTGATTAAGGAAACTTAGCCTGCTGTTTTTCCATTTCTCTCCCTATTCTAGTTCTGGCTGGTGATGCGCTATTTGTCTGAGATGACTGAAGATCAGACTTTAGTCATGTACAGTGGGCATCCTTTAGGACTGTTTCCTAGCCACCGCAATGCTCCTCGATTAGTCATCACCAATGGCATGGTAAGAGCTCACTGTCAGCCTATCCTCTTTGTATGCATGTACTGGTTTTGACCTTTATAGCGCTGTATGGTTTGGGTTCAGGTTACCTACAGAATTGCATTCTTCTGTACAATCTGCCCAAGGCACTTGGGTCCTCTTAGCCTGCCAGAACCCTACTAACAACCGTCACCCAGATGACCTTTTCATCAGTAACTCCAAGACTGTGGAACGACCTGCCAGAAGAGCTCTGATGGCTAAATCAGCTGTCTGAATTTAAGAAACAACTGAAGACCTAGCTATTCCAACAGGCCTACCCAGTCAATTTTACTATGAATTTTAAAATACATCTAGTGTCAACTGTCTTTTAATATTAGTTTTTCATAGCACCCAAAGTCCCTTGCCTATTTTTCCTTGAACAATGATAATTTAATAATAATTTCGTTTATAACCTGTATTTTCTATGATGAATGCATTGTAGTGTCCATAGTTCTCTCTCACACACATCATATAAGTGTTTGTTAAAAATCCCATGGGTAGGTCACACTGAGACATAGTAATCAATCCCAAGGTAGTTGAGTGGGTTCCGTAGTTGAAGGTCAAAACAAATTATATTCTTGACACAGAACTAAAAGAGCTACTCAGTCATAGTTTGACTGTGCTCACCTTGCATTTTGCACTGTGTACCTTATTTGTAATTGGTCACTGGAAGATCAGTATGAGTTTAGTTTGCAAGTCTCAATCTTGATGAAATCCCATAATAAAAGGAAAAGAGGGTTAACATTGAGTTTGATCTCTGTAAGGACTACAACCTGAATTTTCCAAATCTCAGTCCAACGATCTAACCACTAGCCCATATTGATTCTGTCGCTCTGTTATCATTTCTTTGTGTTTCAGAGAACAAAAAAGAGAGAGATAAATCATCCAGGTGTTCTTGTATATTATTAAGAACTCCTCACTTGTTGTGATTGGAACATCTAGAATTTGATCCCATTTACTCTTCCTGTAGAATTCTCTCACATTTTGCACATATGAATGATTAATTGCATTTAGCTGGGTACTTGACAGTAGAATTGGCTCTAGCTGGGTATTATTTAAAATCTATTTTTCCTTTTCCTTTGTTCAGGTAATTCCTAACTATTCCTCCAGAGAAGAATATGAGCGAATGTTTGCGATGGGGGTTACAATGTAAGTAAGTTTGAATTCATGATTCAAACTTTTTGATTTCCCCATATAATGTATATGGAGTATCTTTTATTTCAGAATCTAGATTTTTTGGCAGGGCCTGTGAATATATAATCAACAGTTACAGCATTTTGAGAATATTATTTCAGTTGATTCTGCTCTATCCAAGGAAGTCCTGGATTTGTCATTTTCTTGAGGTGCTTGAAATTCTCTGCTAGAGAACTTTAGCCCACTGAACAGTTCCCTGAACAGTTCCCATGCACCTGATTTAATCCTCAACCTCTCGTCTCAGAGCATTTTGGGAATAATAGAGTAAAGGAGAGGACTAGGTTCTTCAAGGAGAAAATTCCAAATTTCTCAACAAAGCTACAAACCCCAGGATTCCCTAGGATGAAGCTATGGCTATTGAAGTAGAAGCATAGAATCATAGAGCTGGAAGAGACCTTGTGGGCCATCCAGTCCATCCCCCTGCCAAGAAGCAGGAAAATCACATTCAAAGCACCCTTGACAGATGACCATCCAGCCTATGTTTAGAAGCTTCCAAAAAAGGACCCTTCACCAACTCAGGGGCAAAGAGTTCCACTGCTGGATGTAGTCACTATGCTCCTATTTGTGCAGGCCAAAATCCTATTGGTTTTTTAGATGCCGCATGACATTGTTGGCTCATGTTTAACTTGTTGTCCGTGAGGACTTCATGTTCTTTTTCACATGTACTGCTGTCGAGCCACATGTCCCCATTCTGTATCTTTGCATTTCATTTTTTTTCCTGCCTAAGTGGAGTATCTTGCATTTGTCTCTGTTGAATTTCATTTTGTTAGTTTTGGCCCATTTCTCTAATCTGTTAAGATCGTATCAAATGGAAATGTTTTGAACTGTTTTGCTTAGATATACACAATGGGAAAGGGGCGGCCACATAGGACACTGGAAAGCAATGCATGTAAAAAAATGTAGGCTAAATGTGCAAGTCAATAGCAGAATCCTCCTTCAACTCAATGGGATTTAGAAGTGTGCTAAAGACCACAGCTAACTGGAAGGGTGGGGTACAGATGTTTGATCAGTAGCAAGTCTTTTCTCTTTTGGTAATCCCTGAATGAATTGCATTAAAATGCCATCATCATGTCAATATGGACAGTCACAAGTAGGAGGCATTGCCTCCATTTGTCCCAATTTATCAAGGACAGAGAAAAAATGTTGTTTGCACTCCCATCAAACAGGTATGGACAGATGACAGCAGGGAGCTATTGCTACATTGGACCACAAGGAATAGTCCACGGCACAGTGGTAAGACAAGAGCACTATCTGCCAGAATGTGCCATGTCTGAAAAAGGGCACTGCTATATCACTTCCTATAAGACAAACAAATGACTTGTTGCTTACAAAATTGATTTTTGAAAGGAGCTCATTGTTTAATTTATTACGAAAACCCTTTCACTTGCTAGCTTGCTTCCAGAATGTGACTAAGTTCTAACCTTGATTTCTCCTAAAATTCCCTAAAATCCATTGCCCGTATATACTCAAGTATAAGCCAATCCAAATATAAGCCAAGGCATCTAATTTTACCACAAAAAAAATGGGAAAACGCATTGACTCGAGTATAAGCCGAGGGTGGGAAATGGAGCAGCTACTAGTAAATTTCAAAATAAAAATAGATACCAATAAAATTACATTAATTGAGGCATCAGTAGGTTGAATGTTTTTGAATTTTTACATAAAACTGTAATTTAAGATAAGAGTGTCCAACTCTGATTAAACCATTATTCTAACATTCTTCAATGTAAATGTGCTTACGTTTCTTTCTAATAATGATAGAGCGTGAAATAATAAATGGAATAATAATAGTAATGGAGTAAAATAATGGAAATGTAATAATAACAGTAATAATAAAGTTAAATAATAAATGAAATAATAACAATAATAGAGTAAAATAATAAATGTAATAATAATAAATAGAGTAAAATAATGGAAATGTAATAATATTAATAATAATAGAGTAAAATAATAAATGTAATAATAATAGTAATAATAACAGAGTAAAATAATAAATAACTTTGACTCGAGTATAAGCCAAGGGGACTTTTTCAGCCAAAAAAGGGCTCAAAACTCTGCTTATACTTGAGTATGTATGGTACTTTTAAGCTCTGATTTCTTAGTTATGAAAATTGCACAACTATTCCAAGGCTTTTTGTGTCTGTGTGATGACAAATCTTAACATCTCTGTTCTAACACACTATGAGAGATTTTATTTTATTGGACGTAATTCAGTCATGACCAAGCACTGGCCAAAAGAGACTTTCATGAGTCTAAAGTACTCTTTTGCAGAGGAGGCCACCTCTTATGTCTCTGAATGATGCTTAGTTCTGATTTTACCTCCCTTAAACCTCCACTGGGGCCAAAGGATTCCTGCCATACTTCTGGGTATCTGTGATTACACCTTCCAGTAACTACCTGTGTCAAAATTTACCATCCTTGGGGGATAGAGAGAAAACCCAGAAGAATCTCTTTTGTAAGAAAAAGGGAATCCCTGCTTTAATTCAGGAAAACGGCAAGCCCGTGTGACTAAACCATCCAGAAATTCATCTGGAAGCAGCAGAACTTGAAGGGGTATTCTTGCCAAAGTTTGAGTTGAAAAATCTTGGAAGCCTCCTTCATTTTGCTTAAAATGATGTTCTTTAATAAAACCGAAGTACTGTCAACATGATATCAGTTTTGAACGATAAACAAAAGTTGCTTTTGACTGGCAGTTTATGTAAGAAGGTACCTTCTGTACACTAACTGACTTTTTCCTTTGCTATATTACTTTAGCTCACAGTGCTGAATGCTGGCCGTCACTACTTGGGAGTAGAGAATCTCGCTGGGAAAGTCTTTGTTACATCTGGACTTGGAGGAATGAGTGGAGCTCAAGCAAAGGCCGCAGTCATTGCTGGCTGCGTTGGAGTTATCGCCGAGGTAACCCTACATGTTCTTGTTGCATTGTTTTTTGAGGGGTGGTTTTTTGTTGATCCGTCAATTTTAAAACTTATTGGGTAGAGGAGATATCAGATGTTTATACCTGGGGTATTTGAACCTTGTATCCTCGTTCTAAGGGCCATCCTGGAGCACTGGAGTATGGCTCGTGAAAATAGAGTTTGAATCCCTGCTTAGCTAGGGAAGCTCACTGAGTGGCCTTGGGCAAGTCAAACATTCTTGGCCCCATAAGACAGGCAATATATTAAATCTCTTCTGAACAAATCTAGCTATGAAAACCCCATGGTAGGTTTGCCTTAGGGTCATCATAGGTTGGAGATGACTTAAAAGCACCCAACATTAACTACATATTGGGTCACCCTGGGCAAATCATACACTTTCCGACACACACAATCTTATGATCGGGTTACCTCAGGTTCAACAGAAGTTGGAAATGACTTGAAGGCACACAACAACAACAACACCCCTTGACTGCACAGTCAACAGCTGATCAAATAAACTAGAGGAGTAATAGGATCACCAGATAAATGCACAAAGAACATATGTGCAGTTCCCTGTATTATCTGTTCAAAGCAGATAATCTGGATTTTAGATGGCAGTGTAGAAGGGGCCTCAGAGATGTTATATTTCTTAGAGTTTTGCAGCTGAATCATCAATGGTGTCAAACCTTTATAATATTTAAAAATACAACATTACTATATTAGGGATTATTGCTTGAATACATCATGGGTACACTCTGAATTTAATTCCAGAGTTGCACAGGGATATACTATAACTTCACTCTAGCATTGCATGAGAAGTTGTACAGTACATTCATTTTAAAGCACAAAGAACACTCGAGAGAGAGAAGAAATAAGCTGAACAAGGAAATAAAGGGAACCCAGGCTGAACAGAGGACCTCGGTTGCAAGAAGAGGCGCGGAAACATTGAATACAGAAATCTATAAACTTCAGAACTCTCAAAAATAAACAAATCTACAGTATAACTTCAAGGGAAACTACAGTGAAACTCCTGTGAAAGGATTACAACAACAACAAGTAACGAGGAAAGTAGCAAGCAACGATATCTCCTACAAGAAAGACAAGACAACAAGCCTAAAGATAAGACAGAGAGCAAGACAACAGGACGCGGCGACCCTCCAATAAAGCGGAGATGATGTGAGTAGAACCCAATTCCAAACCTCTTCCCCCACCAACCTCCCAAAGCAACCTCTTCCCCCACCAACCTTCTAAAGCAACCCCTCAGCAATCCTCAGCAGGCTTCCCGTTTCGCCCCGCACTCCCACCACCAATCTCACTCACAGAAGAAACAGTTTGAGGGTTACCATTTCCCACCCCCCCGAAAAACCTGAAAGAACCCTTACCTCCTACTCCTGAGGAGACGCTCCCCCTCCACTCGCTGCTATCGGCTCGTATTCCCCCCGCGCTGCGGCTACTCGAGAGCAGGCCGGCGCGCGCCCAGGAAAGTGCGCGAATAAACCAGAGCGTGCAGATAGACCTGCGCGCAGGCTGGCGCGCGCACCAGCACTAGCGGCAGAGCGAACACGCAAACCCTCGCGCAGCGTCGCGCGCCAGCGCAAAATCGCGCGAGAAGACGCGAGAGAAGCAAAAGAAGGGACAAACTCGCGCGGGAGCAACGAAATAACGTGAGAACTCGCGTGCGAGCGGAAAGTAAATAAAACAAATAAAAAACAAACCAATAAAATAAACACAAAATAGAAAGAAGGATAAGAAAAGAAAGTAGCAGAACAGAAGAGACTGCGGGAAGGGGGAAGAAGAAGAGAGTCTAAGAATAAAAAACAAGAAGAGAGGAAGGAGGGGGGAAAAGGAGAAGCGAAAACGGAAGAGACAACCAAGAATACACAAAAGAAGAATCAAGGGGAATAAAAAAAAGTGAGTAAAGGGGAAACCCCAACAAAAACACAGAAGGGGGGAGAGTGAGAGAAAAGGGTGGAGACGGGGAGGAGAAGGGAAAGAAAAGAGTGAAGAGGAGAAGGGGGAAACAAAAGGAAACAAGAAGAAACAGGCGAAAGGAAGAGGAAAACAAAACAGAGGGAAGAAAGGAACAAACAACAGACAAACCAACAAAACAGAGAAGGGAAAAAAAATAAAAAATAAAAAGAAGAAAGGAGAAAGGGGAAAAATGACAACTCCCAAGAACAAGATGGACAAAGAGAAAGAAAAGGACAAGGAAAAAAAAGGCACAGGAAGAAAGGACTCCCTCCCGGAAGAACTGGGTGCCAAGGAGCCAAGCACGAAGGACCTAATGAAGGAAATACTAAAGCTGCAAGCAGTCGTCACCAAAATGCAAGAAAACCAAGACAAACAAAATAACACATTTAAAGAGGAATGGAACGAAATGAAAAAAGACCTCAAAGAAGATCTTCAAAGTGCCTGGAAAAAAGACATAACAGAAGTAAGAGCAGACATGGACAGTTTAAAACAAGACAACAAGAACTTAACGAAAGAGAACAAAAACCTAAAGGACCAACAAATAGATTTAAAAAAGAAAATCAACACCTTGGAGGAAACAGTATCCACTCTTAAACAAAAACAGGAGAATCAAGAAATCCAGGATAAAGAATATCAACTAAGAATCCGGAATTTAGAGGAAGTAGAGAACGAAAACATCAGAGAAGTGATAACAGAACTGATATCGCAGATATGGAAGAAAACAAAAGAGATAACAGAAGCTAATATAGACCGAGTCTTCAGAGCCCACTCCAACTATGCCAAAAAGTACAAAGCTCCAAGAGATGTGGTGGTGAGCTTTGGGAGGAAGAACGCCAGGGATGAAATACTGAAAGAGAACGCGTCGAGCCCAACATACTACAAAGGAAAGAGAATTGTGGTCATGAAGGAAATACCTTTCTCCATTCTAGAACGTCGACGTAAATATTCCTTCCTGACTGAAGAGCTAATACGAAAAAACATCAGATTCAAATGGGACAAAAAAGACGGGATAGTGGTAACATGGAATGACACAAAATACTGGCTTACTTCAGAACCAAAAGCCAGAGCTTTCTGGGAGAAGATGCAGAAAAATGAGAACATAAACAATCAAGGCAATAGTAACACCGACAGCAAAACAGATACCCCACAAGATGACTACAGTGAAGAAGAAGGTAGCGATGAAGAAACCCAACCCGGACAAGACATAAGAAGAAAAGGGAGAAAAAGACCAAGAAAGAAGTCACCAAAAACACAAACACCATACTCTGACTCGGCAAGAGTAAGTTCTGAAACGGAAAAAGAAACAGAAAGAACCCATGACCCCGAAAATTAAGATTCTCAGTCACAACGTTAACGGCCTAAATTCACCAAATAAAAGAAAGAAAATTTTGCACCATCTAAAAAAAGGGAAATATGACATCATTTCTTTACAAGAAACACACATCATACAGAAACATAGCACACTATTAGAGCATAAAAAACTAGGGAAATTGTACCAAGCATCCAACATAGAAAAGAAAAGAGGACTAGCAACTTATGTAAAAGAAAACCTGACCTCTGAGCTAGCCTTCAAAGATCAGGAGGGCAGGATGTTAGGAATAACAGTGGAAATAGAAGACAAAAAGGTCCTAATTTGCAACATATACGCGCCCAATGGGGGCAAGAGCGGTTTTGCTGAAAAATTAAAATCCAAAATAATAGACCAGGAATTTGACGAGCTCCTAATAATGGGTGACTTCAACGGCATTATAGATAAGGATGAGGATAAATCCACCAGAGCAGGAAATAGACCACGAAAAACAGCAGGGGAGTTACCCATTAGCTTCAAAAAGATCATGGAGGAATTTGAATTAGTAGACATCTGGAGACACCAGCACAAAAATGAAAGGGACTATACTTTCTTTTCCAACAGGCACCAAGTATGGTCACAAATCGACATGGTCTGGGGCTCCAAAGTGATGCTTCCAAAAATAACCAAAACAAAAATACTCCCAATATTAAACTCCGATCACGCTCCGTTAGAGATAATGATGGAGGAAAAAGGAAGTAGGACATTCAGTTGGAGACTAAATGAAGGTCTAATAAAAAGAGAGGAAGATCAAAAGAAAAATAAAGAACTACTGGAAGAATTTTTCAGATTCAATAAAGAGAAAGACACTAAAATAGAAGTAATCTGGGATGCTTGCAAAGCTTATATGAGGGGTCACTTAATTGAGCAAAACACAAGAAAAAACAAAAAGAAAAAATTAGAAACAGAAAAATTGGAAAAAGACCTAGAAACAATAGAAAAACAGCTCAAAGAAAACCCCTCCAATAAAAAACTATGTCACCAGGCAGAGATAATAAGGAACCAATTGCATACTATAAACCTAGAAGAACTAGAAAAGAAGCTAAAATATGTGAAACAAGATTATTTCGAAAACGCTAATAAAGTGGGGAGGTGGCTATCAAGAAAGCTAGCAACAAAAAAAGCATCACAGCAAATAACAAAAATAGAGGAAGGCGGGAAAAGCCATTACAGTACAAAAGATATATTAGGCAAATTCGAACAATATTATAGCAAATTATACGAAGCGGACAACATCTCGGAAGAAAAAGTAATGGAGTATTTGGGAAAACAAAAAATAACAAGACTGACAGAAGCACAGAGACAAAAACTAAATAAGGAAATATCTATAGAAGAAATAAAAAGAACAATCAAAAATTTACCAGCTAATAAAGCCCCAGGACCGGACGGCTTCACGCCCCTATATTATAAAATATTCCAAGACAGCCTGACCATCCCCCTCCAAAAAGTGATGAATAGAGTAATGAACGAGGGAACAATACCAGAGACATGGAGAACAGCCACAATAACATTAATCCATAAAAATAAAACAGACAACACATTGATGAAGAATTATAGGCCGATCTCGCTCCTGAATGTAGATTATAAGATCTTTAGTAGCATACTGGCTTCAAGATTAAAAGACGTATTAAACGATAGGATCGGAGAAGAACAGACGGGGTTTCTACCTAAAAGGCAAATCAGAGACAACTTAAGAACGATAATGAATGCCATAGAATAGATTCAAAACAAATGTTGGAAATGTAAAAAACGGAAAGGAGACTTCCACCACATGTGGTGGAAGTGCAAAGGAGTCAAAGCTTTCTGGCATAAGATCCATAAAACAATGGAACTAATCTTACAAATCAAATTCGAATTTAAGCCAGAGTATTTTCTACTGGGCTTAACTGACTTTGATACAGATAGTAATACAAGTAAACTATTCTTTTTGATGACAACAGCAGCAAGAATAAAATTGGCACAATTCTGGAAAGATAAAAAAAACACCTACAATAGAACAATGGACAACCAAAACCTTAGAGACAATGAATATGGATTTATTGACCCAAAGTCTGGCACAAAATAGATTCAAAACAAAAGAGACGAATTGGGATATTTTTTTAAATTTCCTGGAACAGGAGAATAAGGAGTTAAATATTCTTAGAATAACATAGATTAGATGAAAAACAAGCAATAACAAAACGAACAATAAGAACAGGAAGAGAAAATAACAAAAAATAAAAAATWAATAATAATAATAAATAAATAAATAAATAAWWAWAWWAATAAATAAATAAATTAAATTAAATAACAACAATAAAAACAAATTAAGATATGTACAAAAAAATGATATAAACAAACAAATAAACWAATTAACAAACAAAAATAAAAACACAAGAACCAAAATAAAATAAGGGGGACAATATTCAATAATAAAAAACAATAGAAAATAAAATAAGCAAAAACAAAACAAAAACAGAAAAGAAGAAGAAAGACGACCRTCGTCCAAACAAAGAAGAARACARAGAGGCACAATGTCTCGAAAGGAAATTCCGGACCTGGAGACCCTGGAAGTACACTCCTTCAGTAGTGACCAGTCCTCGGGTCATCTACGTGTTCTTTTTTTAACTGCCCWCTGTCATATCCCGCCCCCACCCCTATCCTTTCTACCCCTCCTTTTTTCCAATGTTCTGTCCCTTCCCACCCCCCCCAGACGTTTTTCCTTAATTCTTTCCTCCCTCTCCCTCCCGCGATGTTTTTCCCCCCTAMCCCATCCAAACACACTGTTCCTCACGCTCGAGTTATACTGACTSATTTTATTAAAAAATGTAATCTTAAATCTTAACTTTTTCTACTTCTTTCCTATCTAGCTCCACTCTTAGGAGCACATTATTCTAAATAAAAACAATTAAAAAAAATGAAAAAGGACTTTCTTCTCACCTCTCCTCTGTAGTTTGCTCTATCTTTCAAAAAACCTTCTAACCTTCTGGAACAATATTTAAGGGCATCACAAAGGAGGTTTTCCCAGTATAATGGCAACAATGAGTCCCCACCTATATTTGTTAAATATAATATACTCAAATATTATAATTTTATAAGCCGTTCAGCGTACACATAATCTAACTGTAAGAAAGCGACTCTATATTTCTCACTGATACAAAGATTTAGTAGCATACCTTTTTTTTCAATTTCTGCAAATGCTCATTTTAAAACCATTCCCACATGTTTATTTTCCACAGGAATCCAAATTTCTGGAATTTTTACATGTATAGGTTGACCTTTACTATATTTAGGTCTGCTTCTGGTTTTCAATAAACTCTGCACCATGCTATCAACTTTGAGACTAGATTCTTCTTTGGTGAGAAAATGCCTCAATCTATTTAAATCAACAACTATGTTGGACAAAAAGTTTCAAGAATCATGAAGCGAATATACTGTTGAAAAGATGTTTGGTTAAATGTGGATAACGCCAAGCAGATTGTAGTCCAACTATGTAGTGGTTGACAGATACACCAAGACTTTTTCACTCCATAATACATTTCCCTGAGGAACTGAAATGTTTTCATGTGAAGCAAGCCTATGATAATAGCCTTATAGCTCCACTGTTAAAAACAGCAATAAAGGGCTTCAGTGACCCGTGTAATTTTACCACTGATGATGGGAACAGGATCTTGATTCTATATTTGTTCTGACAGGAAATTTCACTAAGTGGTAATTTGTGCTTTATAACCTATAAGTGGCCTGTCCCACATTAGATCTCGTATTTACATGGTGCCAGACTGGGTAGACGAATCTCGGAATTATGATTCACAGTGAGATGGTGGTAGGGGGAAAACTTCTATATTTACTTTTTAAAAAATCTTACCTTTTAGGTGGATGAAGCTGCCCTTTTAAAACGACATCAGCAAGGGTGGCTGATGGAAATCACAAAGAGTCTGGACCAATGCATTGCTCGGCTTAGGTACTGATTCTATATTTAATTTTTAATTTTTTAATTTAATTCTTTTGACATGAGACCCAAGATGGTTTTTCCATATACCCTCCACTGACACATCTAAGATCTGATTTTGACCAGACTCACATCTTCACCCTTTCCCCCCTTTTGTTTAAAGAATGTGTCCCTGGTTCTGTTAAACTGATGAATCCACATAGGGTACGTAGTAATGGTTCTCAGCCTGTGGATCCCCAGATGTTGTGGCCTTCAACTCCCAGAAATCCTAACAACTGGTAAACTAGCTGGGATTTCTGGGAGTTGTCGGCCAAAACACCTGGGGACCCACAGGTTGAAACTGCTGGTATATAGGAATGTTTTAAGGCAGCTATCTATGGTGCTGAATCCAAAATGTTCAGGACCATGGAAAGTTCCCATAAAATCCTTCCACTGGCTCCTGCTGATATCATCATTGAAGTTCTGCACAAATGAATTCTTTTTTGCTTCAATCTCAGCTTGAAGAGCATCTCTCTCTTATGAACCACTAAAATAGAAGAAAATTAATGAAACATCCCATTTCAATTAAGAAATGGTCCATTTTTATTGTAACCTTCCAAAATGACTAATTTGATTTGCACTAATCAGGTGTTGTTCATACATAGTTAATTCTTAACAAAGATTTCTGCAGCATTTTAAAGTCTCCAAAATCCTTGTTGCACTCAGCTCAAAACTGGCCATGCCTTTAGTATCAGAACACCGATTTCTGTAGCAGCTAAAGGAATTGTGACATTTTTGCCACAAGACTTGCTTTGACACCAGGGGGGAACAGTCAGTGACAACTATAGAATCAAATCAGGCAATAAGTTTGAAGAGAGGATTGCAAAACAAAAAAGATATTCAGGAGATGAAAACAGGAGACTAACACGTCAGAAGACATTTGACATTTACAGGTCCATAGCCTGTGAATAACCCTTGCTTGAAAAGGTTATAATTGCTTTAATATATTTATTAGAACATTTCATTCTTTGCAAACTTAGTAAGATAGCATTTGAAAATGTTTCTCTCCTTTTTCTCTCTCTCTATAAAATTATACAGAGAAGCAAAGAAGAGGAAAACAGCTCTGAGTTTAGGATATCATGGAAATGTAGTTGATCTTTGGTAAGTACTGATTGGCCCATGGCAAACTTGAATATTGTGCATTAACAATTAAAGTTTAGTTTAGAGTTGCAATTCTTTCAATATTGGGCTTGTGTTGTGACAGGTTTTTTAAAACTTAAACTTTGATATACACAAAAACACATATCCCACAATGGTCAAACCGCACAATCAAATGTGACCGACAACTCCCTTAATCACTGAATCGATTACCCAACAAATGATTCTGAGGTTTTTTTTTACTGCTACATCTAAAATTAAACATTGTTTAAAAAAACACCAAAGCAAATGATACATTAATTTGACAGTATTTAGTATTTCTACTTTAAAGAAAATAAAATGGATGGATATGGGAGAGAGTTGTGACCATAGGCTAATTGATTTTAAGACAGTTCTACATTTGTTTGCTTTTGTTCTTTCACTGTTCACTTTTTATATACAGGGAGAGGCTTGTTGAGGAATTTGAGAAAACTGGAGAATTATTGGCTGACCTGGGATCTGACCAAACATCTTGTCACAACCCATTCAATGGAGGCTACTACCCAGTACAGCTCACGTTTAAGGAGGCAAACCAGCTCATGTCCAGCAATCCTGTAAAATTTCAGGCTCTCGTGCAAGAAAGGTACTTCAGTTTTTGGTACAGGTTATCTAGATTTAATTCTGTATCTTACAAACTCAAGATGTCTCTTGCAACACTGACTTTCCTTCTCTAAATAATTTAGATTAAAAACTATTTATGTCCTGAAAAATCATAAAACAGGTAGTCTAGGTTCTCCCCTAATATGGTAAGCCATGTCTAAAATATTTTAGGCCACATAGTCAATGAGTGAAGTACATACGTACATACATGTATGCTTGAAGCATTGTAATGCTATGTGTAATGTCTGATAAAATTCATAACTTTGTACTTGCAGTTTGAATATGTAAGAATGCATATTTCATTCTCTCTAACCTTAATCTTCTTAGTTACTCATAATCGTTATTCATTTGTTTTCAATATCTTTATAAAGACAAAGCAGAGGTACTCTGTAAGAGATCTGTTTCAGCTTTCCAAAGTTATGTACTCTAGACAATTGGGTTCGTTGAGGTGCAGAAGCCAATCCAAGTGAAGGAAAGTGATGAAATATAGCCTCAAGGAAGAGAGGAATGGAGAAAGACAACTGAGCACCAGATGTCTAGCATTTACCGCATGATGGCCATTGTGTTAGGATAAGGCAGGTGTGGGAATATGTGGTCCTCCAGATATTCTTAGATTACAGTTTCTGTCAACTTTGTCCAGCATAGTCAATACTAAGAGACCATGGGAAAACATAGGGGCTACTTGGAACAGGGCTTTTTAAATGTTTCCAATTAGAACCCCTTTTGGGCCAAGAAATGTTTATGTGACCCCGGTACAGAGACATATAAATGAGTATAAAAACCAACAATTTGCTGATTAAACATCAGCATTTGCAAGGCTTGCTAAACAGGCTGGTTTCCCTTTTTATGTAGTACATCTGAAGCACTTTCCACAGAGGCTACTGTAAATACTGCACAACAGATCCATGTAAAAGTCAAAAACAGTCACTAGGTGGTGAACAGAAAACCTTTACTGTTGCCAAATTTTTGTGACTTCAACTTTGAGCTGGGGGACCCCATTTTGTGTTGTGACCAACAGTTTAAGAAGCAGTGACTCGGAGCATGTTTGTTACATTTCAGCTCACAAGGGTATTAATGTAAACTTGTAGTTCAACAGTGTCAACTGTGCAATATGGCAGGTAGTAAAGCCAATGTGGTTCTAGGCTGGATTAATAAGAGTATAGTTCTATATCAAGATAAGTAATTGGACCACTCTATTAAACTATGGTCAGATACCACCTTAATTGCTGTGTGCTAAAATTCAAGACAGATATTGACAAGCTGGAACATGTCCATAGAGGGACAAATAGTAAATGGTGTGGAAGTGAAGCCTTATGAGGAGCAGCATAGGGAACTGGGTATATTTAGCTTGCAGACAGAGGGTACATGATCACAATGTTTAAATATTTGGAATAAATATTTGGGACAAACTTGTTTTCTGCTGCTCTTGAGAGTAGGGAACTCATCACATTAAGACCGTGGCCCACATCACCCGACTTCCCCTTTACCCCATCTTACGGGGGAAAGTGTTCAATGCCCAACTTCCCTCATTGTTGCCTATACAACATGAGAAGCTTCTTGTGTTGCTGTGGCAGCAGCTTACGATACTTCATCTCCACTCGTGCCATGGAACCCCACTGAATCTACATTGTGGGATGGGAGCTGGTGGGCTCCATGCTACAAGTGAAGAGGGAGCCTGTCTGATTTTTTTAATGTCAAGAGCAACTTGAGAAACTGCAAGTCACTTCTGGTGTGAGAGAATTAGCCATCTGCAAGGACATTGCCCAGAGGATGCTCAGATGTTTTGAAACCCCGTGGGAGGCTTCTCTAATGTTCCAGCATGGGAAGCTGGAGCTGACAGTTGGGAGCTCACCCCACTCACCAGATTCGAACCACCAACTTTTCAGTCAGCAGTTCAGCCAGCACAAGGGTTTAACCCATTGCACCACCAGGGGCTCCTGCTAGGTTGGCAGAAGCTGTGGTTAACAGTGAGAGCTCACCCTGCTCCCTGGATTCAAACCACTGACTTTTGGTCAGCAAGTTCAATAGCTCAGCGGTTTAACCCACTGTGCCACTGGGAGCTCTGTCTGTCTGATGAGGTTGTAGAACATGGAATAGTGGGTTCAAACTGCAGAAAAAGAGATTGCACCTGAATATTAGGATTGCACCTGAATAATCTGAACTCATCTTGAGTTTAAGTACTGTAAGACAGTGGAATATGCTCCCTCTGAGCATGGTTCAGTCTCCGTCTCTGGAGGTTTTCAAGCAGAGGCTGGATGGCCATCTTTTGGAAGTGCTTTGATTGCATGTTACTGCATGACAGAATAGGGTTAGACAGGATGGTTCTTGGAGTCTCTTCCATTTCTATGAAATTTGTATTTTTAAACATTGTTGGTCTTCAACTCCCAGAAACTCCAGTTAGGTCAAGGATGACAGAGAGTTGTTGTCCCAGTGTAAAATACCTAGATGGGATGGGGGTGCCAAAACAATTGCTTGTTGGTGTTGTTGTTTTTGTTGTGTGCCTTCAAGTCATTTCTGGTTTATGACAACCCTAAAGTAAAGATTTCTTGGCAAGATAGCACTGCAGGAAGTCACTGCTAATCTGAACTCATTTCCAGTTGCTGCCTGTCTTGAGTGAAAATTTGTTTTTTAAATATATATTTTAAAAAATCTCCAAGTCTATCACAAGACATTTTGATGCCTGAGGTAATACAGCAACCCAAGTAAAATTTGATATTATCTAAGAATAGCAGAATTAAACAACTTCCTATCCAAAGGTCAAAAGAGGCCACAGAAATTTTATTATCCCTCACTTAGCCTTCTTATACAATCACATCAGCAAATGACTATGTGCAGGAAGAAGGGTCTTATTTCTGAGAGAGTAGCAAATGGTCAGTGACCTAGCTGTATTGATTTTGAGTCCCTGCCAGGTGCCTGTTTTCTCAAAGTCAGAAAAAGATATTTAGCCCATACAGATGAGCTGTAATCATTATCTCCCTGTAGCTTGTTCCTGGTATTTGCTCCTGTCTTTCAGAATGAGGTGGGTTTAGTGTCAGGAAATGTTGTTCCTACTGACTGGAACTTGATAGTTTGGATTGGGTGTGGGATGGTGGCAGAGACAAATCAGACAAAAGTAGATTTGAGAATAAAAGATATTGTTAGACTGAGGAAAACCACTCCCTCTCCAGTCTCATTGCTCAGTACTGTTCCCCAACAAGTGATGATCCATTTTTCTGATACTGAAGCAAAAAAGGTACATGAAAGTATTAGCCAACCAGAGCTTCAGATATTATTGAACAGTGATGAAAAAGCAATAAAATCGGGGAGAGGAAAAATCCATAAATTTATGAAGACACCCGAAAGCTTCCTCTTAATAATGAAAATGTTTGCTTGATTATATTCAGTTCAGCTGTGATTTGAACTGAAATCTTCCATCCATCCATCCAAGAAGTGTCCTTGAAGGACCCCAACTCCTCCCAGCTCACAACATCTCTGTCTTAAAAGCCTCAAGACACAATGGATGCATCCAAATGCTAAGAGTGTCTTTCTCCGTGTAAATTGATAGATGATCTTAACAGTAAAGACATTCCGTTCTGTGTTTTTAGCTTGAGGAGACAAGTGGCTGCCATCAACAAACTTTCTGATCATGGGTTGTTTTTCTGGGATTATGGAAATGCTTTTCTTCTCGAAGCTCAGAGAGCAGGTGAGGATGCAGAGCTTTTCCTTTCTTTTTTTTGCACAGAAATCAAATATATCATAATGTACATCCAGGTGAGTACAATACATTTTTTTAAATCCCAGACTTATTTGGGCACCTGTTTTGAAGTCTGTGGTTGTGAGCAGGAAACAAATGCTTGATGTCACCTTTACTGTGGTCTTGAAATTTCTTTACTAGTGTTCTCCATGGTTTTGTGGGGCTCACTTTCACAGGTGAGCAATTTGGATAAACAGAGGAACTTTGGTTGGCTAGGAAATGAACTCTTCCAAGTAAACCTACTATATAGGCTTCATTCAGGTCAACCTGGGGAAAATAAATTTGATACCACCATCCAACTGCTTTCAAGCATCAGTCTTCTTTCCACCTTCCTCACCTTCTACCTTGTACCAATGGCATATGTGCTCATAATTTAGCTAATTTTTGCATAGCGATGTGCCTGTCTTGCACAGCTGAGGTCCTTCTTATAGGATTTTGGGAATGAGGGTAAAATGGTGGTGCCAGGTATGGGGGCACCATCATTTTGGGAATCCAACACAGCAACTTTCACCCATTGTGTTTCTAGTGATCGTCAGTCAACAAGCAAGTTGTCTGATGCCTGGATCCAATGTAGTACAGGCTGAGACTTCTACAGCTGTAACCAATAAAAACTGTGGCCTTTTAATCCTAACCTGTTTGCCATGCGTCACCCCTTCCACATATTTGCCACTAGATACCATAATCCAGCCTTTTAAGAATAGGATTTTTCTCTCATGTCCCTGCATGGGGAGCTGTTGCTGACAGAGGGAGCTCATCCAAGCTCTCCCCGGATTTGAACTTCTGACATGTCGGTCTTCAGTCCTGCCGGCACAAGGGTTTAACCCATTGTGCCACCAGGGACGCCTTAATAATAGGATGCTTTTCATGTTAGAAATATTCCTGAATAGAAGACAGGAACTTCAGTATACATCAGGGTAAAGCATAGTTGACCTCTTCAGATTCCCCACCGTGTTCCCCTTTCTTGCAAGAAATGGTTAATTCCTGCTTCTCTATAATAATAATAATAATAATAATAATAATAATAATAATAATAATAATAAATCTTTATTTATACCCCACCACCATCTCCCCAAAGGGGCTTGGGGCGGTTAACATGAGGCCAAGCCCAAAAATAATACAGCAATGTTAAACACAAAACAACAGAAAAATTACATTACAACAAGACACATAAAGTAATAAAATAAAATAAAATAAACAGTGCAAAATAACATAATAAAAACCAAACACAAAGGGCAGGCCAAATACACAAGATAAAATGTTAAAACCCTGGGTGAGATAGGACTAAAAAGTATATTTGTGAGGGAGGAGTACATGAAGGGGGAGCGGTGGGGTTTGGCTTTATTAAGGACAGGGGGACAGTGCATCGTGAGGACAACTGTAGATGGAAACAAACAAAATGGGTTGAATGGTCACTCTCCGAAGGCACATCAGAATAGCCAAGTTTTTAGATCTTTCTTAAAGGCTGCTAGGGTGGGGGCTTGCTTAATCTCCCCAGGAAGTGAGTTCCAAAGTCAGGGGGCCACAGCGGAGAAGGCTCTCTCCCTTGTTCCCACAAGTCGTGCTTGTGATAGAGGAAGGGGCGAAAGGAGGGCCTCTCCAGAAGATTGAAGAGATCATGCAGGCTTATGGTAGGAGATGCGGTCACAAAGGTAGGCAGGTCCAAACCATTCAGGGCTTTATAGGTGATAACCTACAACTTGAATTGCAACTGGAAGATGAACGGCAGCCAATGGAGCTCCCTGAACAGGGGGGTTGATCACTCCCTGTAATTCGCCCCCTGTAATTCACTCCCTATAATTCTGGCTGCTGAATGTTGGACCAGTTGGAGTTTCCAGGCCGTCTTCAAGGGAAGCCCCAGGTAGAGTGCATTGCAATAGTCCAGTCTAGAGGTAACTAAGGCATGGACCATTGTGGTCAAGTCAGACTTCATGAGGTATGGTTGTGCAGCCTTCATGAGCAAAAGCCCACCTCTCAAATAGATTGTAATATTTTATCATCCCCACCCATCCACACTGTATAACAGAAAAGAATTACTAGTTTTATAAAAATGTTAGTGGCTTGGAATTCAAAGATATAACCATGTTAGTCTGGAATATCACTATCCAAAGGGAGTTTGTGTCACCTTTGAGACTGACATGATCAAGTAGGTAGCATAAGTTTTTGTAGAGTTAGTCTGCTTTCTCAGATGTACCTGAAAGCTATGAAAATTATGCTATCAACTTTGTTCTCTCACTTAGTCTATAAGGTGATACAAAATCCCTTGGCATATTAGTTGCCTGGTTCACTTCTGCTTTCATTTTAATTGCTTTTGGCCTTATTTGGAATCCTATGCACCTCCCAGAGGGTAAAACTGACCCCTTGGACCTGCCACAGCAGGGAAAGCATCATAACTGCCATGAATGGGAGATTTCATAGTCCAGGAGTGGAGTCTGTTTTTCTTCTTCTGTGAAATCGACTGCTGTGGGGGAATTTTGTAGTGAGTGAAACTTACCACTTTCCCCAGTTAAACTTGTTCTCCATCTGTGAAGAGCTATAATCGGGTTCACCCATGCCCCCGCCCCCCATAACTCTGGTAAAAGAGCTGCAGTTGCCAGAGAATAATAACACCTGGATTGTATTTATAGACACCTGTGCTGCAGTTACAATTGGAATTAGTATGGAAAGTACATCCTCAATAGTATGGAAAGTACCTGCTCTTTCACACTACACAATTATAGCATTGTGATTCTACTTTAATTGCTATAGCTCCACTGTGGGATTTGCAGTTTAGGGAGGGGTAGTTCTAATTCTTGGTCAGAGAGCTCTAGGGCTCGCCAGATGACAAGCTCCATCATTTTATAGGATGCAGTGATGGCAGTCAAAGTGGAATGACAGTGCTATAATTGTGGAATACAAAAAGGCCCTAAGTCACATACCATCTGGCTTTAAGCTCCTAGCAGAATATCTGTTAGTGCTGCCCATCTGGAAGCAGACTTGGGCTCCATGGGTTTTCTTTTTTCTTTAACAGCTAACATGTGACATATACACTCTTTTGAAGGTGCTGATGTTGGAGGAGCCAACAAAGGAGAATTCCGATACCCTTCCTATGTTCAGCACATTATGGGGTATGTAGAAGGGAAAGAAATGTGGAATGCCAAACTGTTCCCCCTCTAGACTCGTGTGCTTTCCTATAACTCTTCCAGCTGTTTTGTATGAATAAGTAGATTGCCAGTAGACTTATGAATTTTAAACATGATTCCCAAAGAATTTATGATTCTCAGTCATATCTGAGGAGAAATACATGAGAAAATTCAAACTGAAGGATAGCGGTGTGATATCAGAAGGGGATGAAACAGTATCAAAGACCCTCCACATTCATGGTGGTTAAGGTTGTAGAACCTCCATGAAAATGAGAAAACTGTGAATAAAGATGCTTTTTTAAAAAACTTGAAAGAATCCCTCAGTTCTTGTGGGTTTTTTCGGGCTATATGGCCATGTTCAATTCTAAAGAAAGAATGCTTCTTTAGAAATCTGTAGGTCCTCCACAGCAACTCTATGGTCAACATCAGCTGGAAGTTGGCCATATAATTCCACTGGAGGACTTAGAGATTCCTAAAGGAGTGTTCTCTCCAGGTAATAGTAACAACAACAACTACTACTACTACTACTACTTCATTTATATTCTGCCCTATCTCCCTGAGAGGATGCAAATATTTCTAGATCCTCCATCATAATTCTATAATTTAATTCTGAGAGAAGTTGATCCTAAAGTCACCCTAGAAGATCAAGAGATTCCTAGAAAGAACATGTTAAACAAATAAGTGAATAATCACATCTGCAAAAGTTAAACCTCTGAATTTGGAGGGTTGACTGTGGATAGATTGTACTTAGAAGGACCACAACTTTTCTTCTCTTCTGTTTTATCTCCGGAAGTACCGTTGTTTTCTTTATTTGTACCTTATTGTGCAGATACAAAGGGGTTTGGGGCAGCTTATATATCAGTACCAAAGAAAAGTGAAAGCAATATTCTGTGGCATTGACATAGTACTACTTTTCTAGGTCTGCCTTCTGAAGTGACCCTGTGAACTCCTGGGTGCATTCCAGTGGCCCAAGTCTTTCCCAACTGGCTACTTCACATTGTTAAAGTATGCCCAAAGACCTCTATGAGGTTTTGTTTACAAAGGTTTACACTGTGCACACCAGTGGCATTTTCCTGTGTCACACAATTGCACCTTGATGTCTAATGAGGACAGATAACAAGAAGTGAGCCAACAGACTGAAGATACATAGAGCAGACTTGACCATCTATGTCCCTCAGTTTGACCTATGGCCAAACTTAATACAAGTTGAATGATAAAAGCCGGATCTCTGTTAACTTTCTCTTATGATTTGGTTACACCAGAACTTGGAAGAGTTACTCTTCTGGACTACAACTTCCAGAGTACTTCCCCCACAAGCCACATGGAAAGTAGCTTATGTCTGTTTCTAAGGCCTTATTTGAAATTCTGGAATAATGGCTCAGGGAGCTTTGTGTTTGGATTAGTTTGTTTCAAATATTTGAAATGTTTCCATCTTCAGTTAATGAAAGAAAAGCATTGCTTACTGCCAGGATAAATAGGACAGGAATGTAAAGTATTTTCTAATCGGTATACATATTCTCTTCCCAGTGACATTTTTTCTCTGGGGTTTGGCCCATTTCGCTGGGTTTGTACCTCAGGCAACCCAGAAGACTTGGCATCCACTGACAGTATTGCCTCATCAGTGCTTGAAGAAGCTGTCCTTGAGGAAGGTAAGGAAATTGTGCTATACAGCATGGAAAGTGAATGTTGGAGTGTGGATCTAACTGACTTGGCAATTATTCTTCCTTGCCATTTAAGATTGAGTGTCTAAACTTATTATCCACTTTGGGTTACTTTGTGGAAGATTTCCCAGACAAACCTATCTTCTGTGTGGGGAAATTCCATGCCTTGCATATCACCCAACCTGCTCTATGATAAACACACATGTATGTTTGTTACAGTGCTTGACACTTCCTATCAAGTTTGTAGGTAGTTTAAACTTCCAGCCATCTGGACTGACCCAAGACATGTTGCCTGAGGCAGGGGAGAAAATAATGCAACTCTCTCCATCCATCAAGATTTATAATATCCAAAGTCAGCCAAGTTATTTTGGCACCTGAGAAAGAAAATCCCACAAGTGCCACTCCTCATTCCTGCCAATAAAAAAAAAAACACATCTTAAGCAGCTAACCTTTTGGCATGGTGCAATTAACCCAACAGGAGGAGTATAGGTGGTGGCATCTTGAAATATTGGAAGGTGTGTCAATTTCATGAGAATTCTGCCAACTCAGTAATAAGCCAGGATATTCTAATTCTCACAGTGCAAATATTTTCTAAAAGCATGACATCCAGTTTGAGCCAGATGTAAGCATTGAACTAGGACTCTGGATAACAGAAACACTGCTTGGTCAGGAAAGCCCACTGGGTGACTTGCATAAGTCAGACACTCTTAACCCCCCCCCCCCCCCAAACCCCATGATAGGGTCTCCTTAGGGTTGCCATCAGTTGGAAATGATTTCAAGAAACACAATAACAGTAAATACAACATTCAACTTGAATTTTTCACCAGACTTGCATTTCTGTGAAAGGCAGGAGAGCAACATTTCTCAACCTGGGGGTCAGGACCCCAGAGCAGGGTGTGTGTGTGAGAGAGAGGGAATGTCAGAGGGGTCGCCAAAGACCATCAGAAAACACAATATTTTCTGTTGGTCATGTGGGCTCTCTGGGAATTTTGACCCAATTCTATCGTTGGTGGGGTTCAGAATGCTCTTTGATTGTAGGTGAACTATAAATCCCAGCAACCATAATTCCCAAGTGTTAAGGTCTATTTTCCTCAAACTCCACCAGTGTTCATATTTGGGAATATTGAGTATTCGTGCCAATTTTGATCCAGATCCATCATTGTTTCAGTCCACAGTGCTCTCTGGATGTAGGTGAACTACAGCTCCAAAACTCAATGTCAATGCCCACCAAATCTTTCCAGTATTTTCTATTAGTCATGTGGGTTCTGTGTGCCAAGTTTGGTTCAATACCATGGTTGGTGGACTTCAGAATCATCTTTGGTTGTAGGTTAACTATAAATCACAGCAACTACAACTCCCAAATGACAACATTAATTCCACACACACCCCCAGCCCCACCAGTATTCAAATTTGGGCGTATCAGGTATTTGTGCCAAATTTCGTCCAGTGAATGAAAACACATCCTGCATATTAGATATTTACATTACAATTCATAACAGTAGCAAAATTACGGTTATGAAGTAGTAACAAAAATAATTGTATGGTTGGGGGTCACCACAACATGAGGAACTGTATTAAGGGGTTGCAGCATTGAGAAGGTTGAGAACCACTGTAGTAGAACATGTGATAGCATCTCAGCTTCAGAGGTTTCTGGATGAAACAAATAATCTTGGTCTTACATTCTAGTTTCAGGTCTGGTTATGGGTTGCCTTGGCAGATGGCTTTCACTGGGAACTGGACATGGAGATGTGCCCCTGTTTTGTGCTTTTCAGTAGGTTTGGTACTGTTGACCAACTTCACTCATTTTAAGTAACACCTAACTTGGCTTTGGAGACACAGAACATAGTGACATTCCAGTTGGTTTACTATAATGTGTTCTACGATATGTAGCATTGTCCTTAAAGAATGTTTAGAAATGTCAACTTCCATATTGCTGTAGACAAAGTGGCAGTATGGGGTGATTACAGAGAGCACATGACTCATCTGTTGTCACACTACAACTGGCTGTTACTTTGTTTCAGACTGCTGGTTGTATTCTATAAAGCCCTATACAACATTGGTCCAGGTTATTTGAAGGATCTCCAGGAGGGGTCCTTCTCTTGATGCCCCCACTTTTACAGCCATATCTAAGGAGAATGTGAGAAAGGGTCTTCTCTATGGTTGACCCCAGACTCTGAAACTCCATTCCTATGGAAACTAATCTGACTTTCTTCTTGTTTTACCAGCTGGGTGAAGAACTTTCTGTTCTTTTGGGGTTTGGAGAATTTTTTTTTACTTCTAACATGATTTTTTAAAAATGTATATTATACCTCTTTTTATTTTTATTTTTTAAATGAAAGTTTTTAATCGTTTTAATTGTGTACCATTTAATACTATTTCTATCTCAAAACTGTATGTGTTTCCAACTCTGTAGTTTCATTTATATTTCTTTTTATCTTGTAAGCTGCCCTGAGTTCCTGTCTTGGGGAAATTGCAGGGCATAAAGTGATTGGTGGATGAATTGAAAATTAAGGTCAGCTACCCCTTTTCAGGCAAAATGCTTTTGAGTCACCAAAAGTCTGGACAGTGATCCAAGTTAGAAACAGAAATGTTGGTACATAGATGGCCGTGCAGTAGGCCAAAGTCTTTCCTGCAAACCAAACTTGTTATGCATCTCAAAAGGTCACACTTTCATAGCAAATTTCATGAAATGTATTTCAGTTGTCCCATTTTTCTAAGACATAATTGGCCATATAAAACCTATCATTCCTAGAGAAGTGTGGATTTACTTATTCAAAATTCAAGCAACTTGCTATAAATTCAAGCAATTTAACAAATGCTACTGCTATAGGTATTCATTATTTTCAAGAAAAATAGCCTGTTCATTTCAATGGTTATGATGTATGAATTTTATCACAATTTTTTCTACTAAAGCATAGATCTTAAAGGTCATTGCTCAGTTGTTTTTTGGTTGACTTTCTTGTTAATTCTTGAGGTCTTGTCATATTTCAGTTTCTTCAAACTTTATGGAAAGTATCACTGTCCTAAAGTGTAATTTTTCATTCCTTACTTGACAATGCCTACCAAGTCTTCTCGTTCTTATTCTTGGGTTTGCAAAAGTTTCTAGAATCCCAATGTTACTTCATGGGCTCTAAACAGAAAATAGAATTTAAGATTTTTTTATCTTAGCTAGTAGCCCTTCACTTTGGACAACATCCCCATCTGTTTCTTTTAAAATGTGTTAGCTGTGTTTTTGTAATTAACCCAAACTGGTAACTTTCAAATGACCTGACCAACCATATTCCCAAAGGTGAGGTAGGCTTTAACCTTCATAGAGCCCTGGAACTTTTCCATACTTTAAAAATGTGCAAAGCATACTTTGTTGAAAATATTGCGTGACAGGTTTTATACTGCCCACAGCTTTTACAATAACCAGATGGTGATTGCTAGAATAGGCATGTGGGATTTTTTAAAGCTTCTGTTGAATGAAGGCTTACACTCCTTTTTCTGCTGCTTATAACACTTGTTCCATCATAACATTGCTCTAATAACTTGGATGGTTCGGATTGCTTTTCAGATGTCATTTGTAGAGATACAGCTTCAAAACCTGTAATATGTAATAAATATTCATAAACTTTGCCATTTTTCACATATTGGATTCCCCAAAGCCCGATGTTCACATTTTTTTTTGTATCTAATACAATTTTTGAGGAAGTTCAGCAGGATATCTGATATATTTTAAAATATATCTGTTAAAACCTGGCTCTGGGATCAGGCTCTCAGAGAATAGTGCAGTGCAGTAACAGATTTGTAATATGCACAATGATTATGGAGCGGCTCTGGAATACGATTATGGATGGCGTGATTTTATATTGAATGTAATGTTTTTAAATGCTTAATATGTATTTGTTTTATTTTAATTTAATTTTAATATTTAAATTTAAGGCATTGTATAATTGCTTATATGTAAGCTACCTTGAGTCCCTTTTGGGGTAGGGAAAGGCGGGGTATAAATAGAGCAAATAAATAAATGAATAATATGTTTAGTATATTGTCCACGTGAACACCAATTGCTGTAATATCTATGATTTCTTTCTTCATTTCAAGAGACAAATAATTTACTTTTCATGATTATGTTTATTAAATTCTGACAGTGTCTCATCTGTTTTATTTAGATAAAGAACACAATGGAAATAAAAGTAAAAAAGCACAGCAAATAAAAGTCCAAGTCTAACTCTAGCCCATGACACAAATGATCTAATATTTAATTCATCGATTGTCCAGCGACTATATGGAATATTTCTTCCCCACATGATCACTCAAGTAATTAGGATGACTGTGATAATGGAAAATCCACTGTCCTCAGTCAGAGAAGATTTTGAGTGGGCAGATTTGGGGGCTCTTCCAGACCTTCATTGTGAATTTGTTTTCCTGTAGTCAGTGATTTTTTTCAGAGATCCAGCACAGTTACTGGTTTAAGCGTTGGATTAGAACTTTGGAGATAAGGGTTTGAATCTTTATTTGGCCATGGAAACCTCATGGTTGACCCTGAACATGTTTGCCTTTGCCTTCCTCTCTCAGCTTTAGAGGACGGTAAAAAGTCTGAGGTTGACTTTATACTTTCTGCAACCTTCTGAAAGTCAAGATTAGCTAATTAGCCATCCTGCCCAAATCTCACATCTTCTGAAAGATGAGTAGCTCTGCAAGAATGGGGAAATGAGCTGAGAAATTGATGGCTTCATGAAATCAGAGCTTCAGTGGGAGTGAAATGACATGAACAAGCTTTAAAGGAAGAATGCACTTCCTGTTCTAAGTGTATTTGGGAATGCTTGGATGATGTAAAAAAAAAACAAAAAATAAAATAGCTCTGAGGCCAGGGAGTCAACTTCCTTGCTGACACAGATAAAGTGGATGAGATCACAATGTGCCTCTTATAAGTGACTTCTAAGGCTAAATAAAGATCGGAAAACTGAAGGGGTAACAAAGTAAACTCTTGAATGGATTTTTTTTTTCATGAAGGCAGTGACAACTTTTGAAGAAGGAAGGAAGGAAGATACATGAAGTTATGGTCAAATCCTTAATGTTGTATAACAGCAATTGGGTCATTTTATAGATGTGTATGTCCAGTCCTCTTTTCATGTACATCTTGAAGCATTTGTGTACTGGCATTGGCCTCTGGGCCCCAGATGTTTTGGCCTTCAACTCTCAAAAATCCTAACAGCTGGTAAACTGGCTGGGATTTCTGGGAGCTGTGGGCTAAAACACCTGGGGACCCACAGGTTGAAAACCACTGCCCTAAAACTATTATAGGGTGGTAATGTTACTTATTATTTCTCATTGCCTAGTGAATGTATCTGTAAAGCAGCAATACCGTGATAACATCCATTGGATTCAGGAAGCCAGGAGGCACAATTTGGTATGTCGAAGCTGAAATGTTACTCATTGAAAATTACCTCCAAATGAAAACTATCAGTTCCAAGCTATCTCTCTCGCTGCACTCCTCTCTCTCCCTCTCTCCCTCTTTCTCTCTCTTTCTCTCACACTATTTAGTTTAGTTTAGTTTAAAGGTTTGGTGCATGGCATTTAGTCTTGTCAATTGCCTATGATTTGAGAAAGCTTCCTTGTCTCCTGCTGTGATGGGAACTGTGCGGTAGATGTTCATGACATCCATACAGTCAGGCTTATTTAATTGATTTTTGAAGTATAGTTTTAAAGAATCAGGAAAGAAAAATATGGGGAGGGAGAGTACTTAGTATTAGGTCTTGTTTTTTTACCTTTAAAGCCCTACATGGTTTGGGTCCAGGATTGCCTTCTCCCATATAATCTGCCCCGAACACTTAGGTCCGCTGAAGGGCATCTGCTCCAACTAGCCAGAACCCAACTGGCAACCACCACCCAGAGAACCTTTTCATTGGCCACCCCGAGACTATGGAACGTCCTGCCGGAGAACTCCAACAGATAAAGAAGCTGTCAGAATTTAAAACACATCAGAAGACCTATCTCTTCCAGCAGGCCTACCCAGTCAATTTTAATCATGAATTTTAAACTTGGATCTTGTGTTTTAGTCATTGATCTGTATATTTTAATGTATGTATTTTGTAGAAATACATTTTAATATGGTCATTTTAATATAATGATTATGTGTTTTTAGTTTTGTTTTAACCCACCTCAAGGAGAGACGAGTAAGATATAAAATTATTATTATTATTTGAGGGTTGTTGTAGGTTTTTTTTGGGCTATATGGCCATGTTCTAGAGGCATTCTCTCTAGAGAATGCCTCTAGAACATGGCCATATAGCCCGAAAAAACCCTACAACAACCCAGTGATTCTGGCCATGTAAGCCTTCGACGATACATTATTATTTGTATTATTTTAGCAGCAGCAGCAACAATAACAACAACAAAACAATCCTGATCAGGATTTTTTCATCATTATCATTATTTCATAGGATTGATGAACATTGTCACTCAAGAACACCTAGAGCGCTTCAACTTTGACTATAAACAAAGCTCCAACTTTTTGTTTATTAGAAAATATTACTAAACTGTTCTCAAGTTTACTTTGACTGTAAGAACACCTCATTCATCTATATGACAGAAAATAAGCCCTCAGATATATAAATTCTTGGAAGCTAATGTTCACCACTTTGGTCCTTAAGTATGAAAGAGAGGGGGGGGGAGAGAGAGAATGGCAGATATTTCACATTCTTTGTAATCATAGTTCCTTTCTATTTTCCATTTCCATCGGTCATTCCCAGTATATGTTTATGACACAATAAGGAAGAAGTAGATATCAGATTGTAGGTCTTCAAATGTGATTTTCAGTTTCCTGGCTTTGTGCAAATATAATGCATTTTCATGACTATAAATATAAGCATTGTGTGATGGTAACCATGCAAGATGAGTATTTCACTATCCGTACTTTTATTCCAATAAATAATTATTTGAGGTCACATTTCTGAACTTACAAAAAAATCATAATTGTATTATTTTTAATTTTTATAGGTTGTAGGATCCCAAGCCAGAATTTTGTACTCTGATCAAAAAGGCCGTGTGGCTATTGCAGTAGCTATTAATCAAGGCATTGCTAAAGGAAGAATTAAGGTACGGTCTTTTTATTTCCTCTCTTCCCCCACCCCAAATCATTGTATTTTGCTCATTTAGCTCTGACATAAGACACTGTCCATAATGGGAAAAACCATATGGTCCAGCTTTCAGTATTAAAAGTATTAATACCAGATTGATAGATTAAGAAAGGGCTAATTATCTTTCTTTGGAGTTAAACCGCTGAGCTGCTGAACTTGTTGACCAAAAGGTTCCAGGTTCGAGTCTAGGGAGCAATGTGAGCTCCCACTGTCAGCCCCAACTTTTGCCAATCTAGTAGTTCAAAACATGCAAATGTGAGTAGATCAATAGGTGCCACTCTGGTGGGAAGGTAATGGTGCTCCATGCAGTCATGCCGATCACATGACCTTGGAGGTGTCTAAAGACAATGCTGGCTCTTCGGCTTAGGAATTGAGATGAGTACCAACCCCCAGAGTCAGACATGACTAGACTTAATGCCAGGGGAAAACCTTAAACCTTAATTATCTTTCTTATAAAAATACAAACCATCTGAAGTGAATGAACTGACTTTGCCTTTTATGCATATATGATTTTTGGAAAAATTTCTAACTCATGCCCCTTTTGCTAATTCTATTAATAATAGCCACCTGTGTGTGTGTTTTTTTTACAGACTTTTAATTTACAAACATACTATCTATTTCTTCGACTATAGATCTTCATCACAAAGGGGATGGTTCAGCTTAGGTGTCTATTCTGTCCTCAGCACAATACCTTGGGAAATTACCAATGTACAGTGCGCAGGTCACAAAAGACACCTGGTTTCTTGTTTTGGGAACTCCATGGTCTGAACCAAGAACTTAGAGTGTGAGAGGCAACCATGTAAACTAACACACCCTCTTTCAGTTTCCAGATCTTCAGCTGTAAAAGCAAATTGAGATCCAGGTCTTCTGTTGTACAAAATTCACGTGTTTGTTTAGTGCATGACATTTCCGGGCAGAAAGTATTTCTACAGAGGACTATCATTTCTTGGACATTTATTTTTTATTTATTGTGTCAGAAGCAAATTGAGAATATAGTTATAATGTATAAAAAGCCACAAACAAAGTTAAAAACTTGACATTATGCTAGATTTTCTTTGAGAGTGCCTCTGGTGTAACTGTAAGGAGGTCCTCCGTTGTGCACATGACAGGGCTCAGACTGCATTGTAGTAGATGGTCTGTGGTTTGCTGTTCTCTTCACAAGTCATGGAGTCCACTTTGTAGACCCATTTCTTTAAGACTGGCTCCATATCTCGTGATGCCAGAGCACGGTCTGTTCAGCACTTTCCAAATCACCCAGTCTTCTGTGTGCTCAGGAGGGAGTTTCTCATCCTGCATCAGCCACTGATTGAGGTTCTGGGGTTTAGCCTGCCACTTTTGGACTCTTGCTTGCTGAGGTGTTCCTGCGAGTATCTCTGTAACTCTTAGGAAGCTGTTTCTTGATTTAAGGCATTGGTTTGCTGGATGATATTCGAACAGAGGATGGGCCAGAGATGTCAACGCCTTGGTCTTTTCATTGCTTGCTGTTATTTCCTGGATGATATCAGGTGGTGCAATGCCAGCTAACAGTATAATTTCTCCAGTGGTGTTGGCCGTAGACATCCTGTGACAATGCGGCATGTCTCAATAAGAGCCACATCCATTGTGTTAAAGTGGTGAGATGTATTTCATACATGGCATGCGTATTCAGCAGCAGAATAGAAAAGCACAAGGGCAGATGTCTTCACTGTATCTAGTTGTGATCCTCAGATTGTGCCTGTCGGCTTTCGTATGATATTGTTTCTAGTGCACAGAAAATACTGTAATATTCACTGTAAAATGAATATGTGTTTGAGTTGTATGAAAAGCAACATTTTCTGAGCAGCAAACATCTTTTTCTGTATGAAAAATAATATTTCTCTGTAGAATTATGACTGGGGTTTGCTGACATCAACACATGCCTCCATGTGCAGTAACACATGTGCAACCTACAAAACACTGCCACACCAGCAGCATTTTAAATTAAAAACAATCCCTCCTTTCATAAGCCTTGAACTGAAGAGATGGTATCAGTGCAGAGAGATCAGCTAATACCTGCATCTGGTCTCTTCTTCATGGGATATTAATTTACAGCAGGGTGTCGAAGATGAAGATAATCTGTTAATCTTAACAGAAAATCAGACATTAAATTAATCTGTCTCCCCCTGATCCACATCTGTTATGTCTGCCCCGTCCCCATTAGAGATCTCTACCAACTGGCATTACATGCTCTCTCTTTTTCCATGGTGAAGTTTTTCCTGTATGTTTCATGTTGTCAGATTTATATTTAACTCTGGTCTGAAACAGTATTTTTGTGCGTATACTGCTCAATATACTCACAAACATCATGAATTCCTTCTTGGAAACCTATCACATTCTGCTTACATTCTGGTCTTGGGCATATACCCAAGATTTTTAACGTTGTTGTTGTATTAGTAGTGTGTCTTCAAGTCATTTCTGAAGTCATCATTTCAGACTCTTAAGGAGTTTGTTTTTTGCCTTTCTCTGAAGCTGAGAGAGTATAACTTGCCCAACCTCACTCAGTGAATTTCCGTGGTTGACAAGGGATGCAAACCATGATCTCCAGAGTTAGGGTCCAACACTGAGACAACTATACCATGTTGGCTCACTTTTAATGTGATGTAAATTTATACCAACACAATTGTTTGGATGTCATAATTGCATTTATGTATAAACCCTGGAAAAAAGTAATTGCTTGCCCACTTATTTTAATGCTAGCATAGTAGCCCAGCAGGAGTCCAACGTAGGTAAACAACAACCAATACTAGCATTATGTCATGTCTCTTAAGAGTTGCAAAAGGACGAAGACTGGAATGACAGGTGACCCAGGGAAGGAGGAATGAATATGTCTCCATTGTTTTAAGGACCATTTTCAGGTCTAAAGTATAAGACAGAGCACATTGTTTATTATTTTCAATCCTCCCTCAATTTGCCGAGAGACTCTGTATAGATATGCTCTGGTCCAAAGAGCATGTGTAGCAAAGCTCAATCCGATGCATCCATTTGTGAAGAAAAGTAAATTAATTTTATTTTCTTTCAAATTTTCATGTTGTATTGCATTTATATCAGATTTTTATGGAATAGATTTTTCATGCTCCTTTTTGAACTGGTGGTGATCATAGTAAGGCCCAGAACATAATATACAGTTTTAATGCAATGGGCCCACTATAATTCCCATGGCAACAACCTGTGAGATTCTGAGATTTGTAGTTTATGGAAAAATTAAATACCACCCCCCCCCCCCAAACTGCAAACCTCGGGATTCTTAGTGCTATAGCAGTGTAGTGTGATAGGACCCTAAGTATTTTTACCACCTCGCCCTTGTTCTCTTCTTCTTCTTCTTTTTCTTTACAGGCACCAGTGGTTCTTAGCCGAGACCACCATGATGTAAGTGGGGCTGACAGTCCTTACAGAGAGACTTCGAACATCTATGATGGTTCCGCATTTTGTGCAGGTTAGCTGGATTGCTATAGGCTTGCCTCTCTGTGATCATTCGGATTACGTTAGATGAGGAAACAAATGTCACTAAAGTTCCTACTAAAAGCATCACCTTTTAATTTGCCTGGGTTTCAAGAGCTTGGAAAAGTCCCTCCCTTCTGTTTTCTATGTGTTCGTTCTGTTTTTTGCAGTGGCCATGCTGCCTTGGGGCTTCTGGGAATAATATCCTATGATCTGAAGGTTTTCTGTTAAATTCACATTGTGTACAATTCAGTGCTTTGATTGCGTCTTCCTGTGTGTCTGGGGATTGTACAGAATAGGCTTTGTGATCTGCTCCAGCTCTATGAGTCTACATCAAAAAAATCCCTAAGAACTGCAGCACCTTGGAGAGTAACTGAATTGTTATGATCTGAACTGTCGTAAGTCACAGCCTGCTCCATCAGAGGCAGGAAATAGGTAGAGAGGTAGTGAGATCTAAAAATAATGACATTGTAAGAAAAAAAATAAGGCACAAATAATGAAGAAAAAAATTGTAAGAAAAAAATAAGGCACAAATAATGAAATAGATATGCTCCTGGGCATTACTTCTTTAGCAATAAAGTTGATACCAGAGGCAGAAATAACACAGAAAGACCTAGGAGAGACTACTGAGAGGGGGGTGGAAGAGGTAGGAGAAGAGCACTTCAACATGCTTCAACAAGCCATTTATTCGAAACGGACAATATTTGCATGTGAAGGAAATGAAACATTTTTGAACAAGTGCAAACAAAGGTTTGAAGCTTTCTTTCAAAATCCATTACTTTTTTTTCACCGACATTTTTCTTATGATTTCAACATTGGTGGCCATGGCCAAACTTCTAGAGTTCTTTGTTTTGCATAGTGCAGTTAGGTGGTGAGGCAGGCTAATCTGCTCTCCACATTTTTTTTCCTTTGGCTCTTACTACTTGCTCAATAACAGATTCTGTGGGCAGCTGCTCTTTACTTTTCCCATCGGGGGTAGCTTTGACAGGTGCTGCAGTAGCATCAAGTGCAATAGAATCCTGCTCTTTCCCAACTCAAATTTTGTTTATTGCAGACATGCTGCTGCAACCTTATGCCAAAAGTCTGGAAACCCATCTACATGGGGAAATGAATTTAGGAACAGTCAGAAGCATTCTGCCAATGTGTTTTCATCTCTCCACTCCCAAAACATGGAGTCCTGACTGTGCAGTCTGCCCAACTCTGCTGGGCAGTTACCCTTATCTTTGTTGTCCTTGTCACCACAGCTGTAGCTATGGAGATGTCAACAAAGATGCCTGCGCAATGTGGAGAGAAGAGGGGCATGTTTCCTCTCTTCAAGTTGTGTTGGTGCCTTTGCTGGCATTGGCAACACTGCCCAGCAGTGGCCAGAAGGTCTCCAGAGCTCCATGGACACTACTACAGCAACAAAGGAGAGTAAATATACATGGCATTCCCCTTTCCCCATACCACAGAGTGTGTGAGGGAAACCAGATTATGGCATTGGTCCCTGTGAACACAGTAGTGAAATCAGAATTACCCCAGTTGTTCACACACACACACATACCAATACAGAGTAAAATTGGGTTGGGGGATGGAAGTGCCTGGCCATCATCTGGATGCCGAGGAGTAACTTCTGCCCAATTCAAGGTATGTGGCCAGTGCAGACAGACCCTAGGTCTGTCAAATTCACTTTTACCACTCTCTTACAACCAATGCTGCAAGAGAGAGAAAACAACAATAGCTTACATCTAGGACAGGAAGGAAGGTCTAGGAAGGCATTGTGAAAAAGAGTTTCATAGTCAAAAATTTTGTTAAATAAGCAAAACTAAAAAATGCAAATGTATAGCATAACATCCAGAGGCGGTCCTAGGTAATTTTCAATGGTAAGCAAACAGTATTTTGGCGCCCCCCCCTCCCCAACCAATCACTGATATATATATAGATAGGTAGATATAGATATATAGATATATATTGGCATAGACAAATTTTGGCCCTCCAGGTATTTTGGACTTCCTACTGGTTGTTTGGAATTGTGGGAGTTGAAGTCCAAAACACATGGAGGGCCGAAGTTGGTCCATGCCATATATATATATATATATATATATATATATATATATATATATATGCTAGCCATCCCCTGCCACGCGTTGCTATGATCCAGTCTGGTCATCTTGAAAAGAAAGTAATGAGAAAGTTGGTTTCTTATGTAATTTCTTGATGCTTGTGGGTAAACAGTATTTCTTGTTTCTTTGTCAGTGTTAATGTAGTGATTGTCTGGTTTGCCTACTCTGGAACATAAAACATATCATTGTCCTTCTTTAGGGATCCCTTTCACATCTATGATATTATATCTTCTCTGTGTGTGTGTGTGTTTGAATCCTATAGATCTATCTATATCTATGGCAGGATGGCTCTTTGTCAGGAGGGCTTTGATTGTTTTCTTGCTCTGGTGAAGGGAGTTGGTCTGGTTGGCTATAAGGAAGCATTTCTCAACCTGGGGGTTGAGACCTCTGGGGGGATCATGAGGAGGTGTCAGAAGGGTCGCCAAAGACCACTGGAAAACAGTGTTTTCTGTTGGTCATGGGGGATTCAATGTGGGAAGTTTGGCCCAATTCTATCGTTAGTGGGGTTCAGAATGTTCTTTGATTGTAACTGAACTATAAATCCCAGTAACTACAACTCTCAAATGTCAAGATCTATTTCCCCCCAAACTTCACAGGTGTTCACATTTGGGCACATGGAGTATTTGTGCCAAGTTTGAGCTAAATCCTTCATTGTTTGAGTCCACAGTGCTCTCTGGGTGTAGGTGAACTACAACTCCAAAACTCAAGGTCAATGCCCACCAAACCCTTTCAGTATTTTCTGTTGGCCATGGGAGTCCTGTGTGCCAAATTTGGTTCAATTCCATCATTGGTGGAGTTCAGAATGCTCTTTGATCATAGTTAACTATAATCCCAGCAACTACAATTCCCAAATGACCCTGGAAGGAGGGCCGAAATTGGCCCAGGCCTGTGTATGTATATGTATGTGTGCATGTGTACACACACACATATACATACACACACACACACATATCTGTATATATATATATGTATACATATATATCTATGCAAGGAGGAGGCCGTTGCCAAAGAGGGCATTGGTGGCGGCGGCTTCCCCCTTGACCCTCCGTGCTCCTTCCTCCCCAGGCTTGGCGCCAGGCTTGGAGCCAAGCCTGGCGAGGAAGGGACCCTTTTAGCCACGGAGCAGCAGAGGGGCGGGGAGGAGGCTGCTGGCAAAGAAGGCCTCAGTGGCGGCAGCTTCCCCCTCGCCCCTTTGCTCCTCCGTCCTCCTTCCTCCCCAAGCTGGGCGCCAGGCTTGGGAGCCCAGCCCGGGGAGGAAGGGAACTTTTAGCCACGGAGCAGCAGAGGGGCGGGGAGGAGGCTCCTGCCAAAGAGGGCCTCAGCCGTGGCAGCTTCTCCCTCGCCCCTCTGATGCTCCGTCCTCCTTCCACCCCAGGCTGGGTGCCAGGTTTGGGAGCCCAGCCTGAGAAGGAAGGAAACCTTTAGCCACGGAGCAGCAGAAGGGCGAGGGGGAAGCTGCCGCCGCTGAGGCCCTCTTCGCCAGCAGCCTCCTCCTCGCCCTTCTGCTGCTCCGTGGCTAAAAATTCCCTTCCTTCCCGGGGCTGGGCTCCCAAGCCTGGCGCCCAGCCTGGGGAAGAAGGAGCACGGGGCAGCAAAGGGGCGAGGGGGAAGCGGCTGCCGCTGAGGGCGAGGAGGAGGCTACTGGTGAAGAGGGCCTCAGCGGCGGCAGCTTCCCCCTCGCCCCTTTGCTGCTCCGTGCTCCTTCCTCCCCAGGCTGGGCGCCACGCTTGGAAGGGACCTTTTAGCCACGGAGCAGCAGAGGGGCGAGGAGGAGGCTCCTGCCGAAGAGGGCCTCAGCGGCGGCAGCTTTCCCCCTCGCACCTTTGCTGCTCCGTGCTCCTTCCTCCCCAGGCTGGGCGCCAGGCTTGGGAGCCCAGCCTGGCGAGGAAGGAACCCTTTTAGCCACGGAGCAGCAGAGGAGCGAGGAGGAGGCGCCCCTGGCTGAAATGAAGTGTTCCGCAACAGCTTACTTTGCGTAATGGTTGAGCCGCCCCTGATAACATCATGATACCATGGAATCTATATTCCTTTCCATTTGAGGGTGCAAATGGCTGTGCAGTTGGAAGGATTTGAAGGGCAAGGTATTCGGGTTGTGACATTCTGAGTCATGTAGTTGCAAAGCAGTCACTTTCCCAAGATCTAAAACAAGTAGTCAGAGTTGGAGAACAGTGAATCCATTCCAGCCAATCTGTTGCTTCATTTTAGAGGAAGAAGCTTAGTAAACTAGTAGGCCATGGTGAGAACACAAATGAAGAACAGCAATAACTGCTCATGTTCTGTTTGACACAGTCAGTGTCCTATGACAGATATATCCCTTATCCTCCTGTAAGGTGGAACTGGGATCTGAACTAATTTCACTTTAATTTCCCCCCACCCCCAATCAGAAGGATCCGATAGCACTTCAAATCTGGCAAAAGGATCTTCTGCCATCCCATTTACATTGGCCTCAGGTAACAAAAATATGTAAAACAGCAATACAGTCTCATCTGTGCTTTTAACACTATTCTCAAAAACAACCCATTAAATGAAGAAGCCACATTGCTATAAAATGTGGCTTTCTTGATATTTTCTTACTTCTCAATTCCTTTGCCATTCTTTTCTTTCCCCACAGATATGGCTGTTCAAAATTTTGTAGGAGACTCTTTCAGAGGAGCTACCTGGGTTGCCTTACATAATGGTGGTGGTGTTGGCTGGTAAGGACAATTTGTCTTTGAAAGGAAAAAAATACAGTGTTTCATGAACAGATGTGTAGAAAAAAAAGATTGTATATATATACACAACCCATTTGGGAAAACATTCAGCAGCACTTTCATTCAACTTTTCTCAAGATCCCTCAAATTCACTTGCTCATTGCTTCTCATTTTCCTAAATCCTTATCTGGAATATATGCAACAGATGAAATGGAAATGTATATTTATTGGACAACAAACTGCTCGTTCAGAATAACCTCTGCAATCTGTGCATTTTTATTTGTCTGCTTTGTCCAAATTGTGCTTTATCAAAATATTAGTAAGCACATAACCCTATTCAGAAGACTCGCTTTGCTACAGAAGGGCAAAAACTTAATCTTTCTGTATTAAAACAGAACTTACTTCCAATGTTATATTCAGTTGTGTGTCAGTAAGTGAGATCTATTTAGACTTCTCTCCAGCTGCATTTAAACCTGTGACCTTTGGACCCCAGTATAATATACCCATATGCTAAAATGCCGCAAGAGTTTGCTGATACAAAACAGGTCAGATGCCAGCCATCTTTTTCTGTGCTCCCCCTCCCCCTCCGCAATTAGCTCTAGTTCAGACCTCTTTTTGCAGAACACTGGACCTGTATGATTTTTCTTCAAACATGATCTCTTCATGGATTAGCCTCCGACTTAATGGCAGTGATGCCATCAAGACAGGTCTTTGGGGCAAATGACCAGCTGCAGAGGAAGATTTCCAAACACAGGAAGGGTTCTGACTGCATTTTGAAGTTAATGAAACTATACAAATTACCTTTGAAACAGGGCTTCTGTCCTACACAAGATGATTAAGTAAAATCACCTACCTGCAAACTTCTGAAGACTATAGTGGCTCTCCAGATGGTCTGGTACAATTCCTGCCAGCTCTCACTACCACGGTTGGTGGTGAGCGAGCATGGGAGCTGCAGTCTATCAACATCTGTTGCCCGTTCTTTGGCTTAAGGAAATAAACCTGCTTGTTTACTTATTTTGCCATCCTTCAGAACAGTAGTTCTCAACCTGTGGGTCCCCAGGTGTTTTGGCCTACAACTCCCAGAAATCCTAACCGGTTTATAGTTTACCAGCTGTTAGGATCATCTGGGAACCGACAGGTTGAGAACCACAGCTGCATAACTTGTACATTGGATTTTCCCATTGACTGAGCTCCATTTGTGGTAAAGGGCAGGGAAAACTGTAAGAGTTCAGTTAACAATGCTCTTTTTCTGAGATCATTATGGATTTCTTATGCGGATAAAATGTAGCATGTCCTCAGGAATCTATCTCGCACCCTGGACCATTGGTCTATAAGATGTAGTACTGTATTCACTGGCAGCAGCAATCACGGCAGAAGAGAAACGTTTCTCCAAGTTTACTTGGAAATGACAAGCATTCAACCTGCACCTTCTTGCCTCAGATTCCAGTGCTGTCTTTAGCTGAAGATATAATAAATAAG